GGTACTCAATTATGTAAGCACTTCGATATACAGTTTAAAAGTAAAACTAAATTATATTATAAGTCTAACAGGGTGATTGTTAACAATATTAATATATATAATTGCATATTATCTTACTAAAAGTATTATAATCAACTTACAAGCACAATACAATATTTTTATAACTATTATAATCTATCAACTATTATTGTAGATATCTTATAATATAATTTTAACAGATTATAATAAGAGTTGAGTACTTGTACCTCACATGTAATGTTGTAATAATACTATTAGTAAGCTTACTTGCTCTAAAACATGTTTGTAGTTTAATAGAAACTTTGTATATTTCTTACATTTATATACAAGCATTATAATTACATTACAAGTAAAATATAAGTATTATTTTAGAATGTAATGCTTATGAAATAATTTTATTAGTTTACTTTTGCTATTATTAAATACATTTGTTGCGACTTTTTCGTGATGCCGAAGTGCTATTTTAATCTGTTTTCTAAACTGATGAGACGTGCTAGAGGGGCATTCTGGCCGGTAACCGACCACAGGGCACTTTCAACGCTTATCCTCGGTTCTCTTCTGGAGAAAATTGACTTGAAAAGCTTAAGCGATAAGTATCGGGACTATATCTTGGAGCGTGTTCTCACGGATGGTGCACCTGTTGCAACGGTTGTCGATGAGCTCCATGAAAGAGTACAGAAGGAAGGCTTGCGAGTCATGTCCGTCAAGGCTAGCAATCCTTATAATACCAGCCCCGAAATGTTTCGTAACCATCAGACTTTTATGAGTAAAACTACTCTTAAGGATGCAAGGGAATCTTTGCAGGTACGCATTTTCTGTGCCTCATATCACAACATTTTACAGACATCTTCCTTAGACTTCTTCGACTCCTCACATGAACGAAGGGGCTAGACAGAGAATTGAGGTGAAACAAAACGCGCTTGACGAGCTTAACGACTTCCAAATAGCCGAGGTTCGCCTTGTCAACCGTGGGGATAAGACAATTGTTATGCAGCACTTCAACGACAAGCTGAAGCCAGACATCGAGAGGACTATCCCAGGAGGATTTGTTCTTCCTGCTCACTTCAAAATTAATGTTGCACATAACTTCATATTTAAAAGTGGTACCACAACCCAGGTGCTCAGGTCAGAAGTGCCACTATCTTTTGTGGAACATATCTGACTCACCGTTGTTATAGTCGAACATTTGATAAGATGAACGATGAGATCCTAGTGCATTCGATGTTTCCATAATTGAAGGACTATCTTCCAGTAAGTGTATCTTCTATTTTGACAAAATATTCCCTAGCACACCTTTTCCATGTGTCATTTTATTCTCTTCTTCAATGGCACTGACTAGTCCGTCTGAGATAGCTTTGACACTCGAGTAAAAGTGTTGGACTGTTACCTGGTATTTAAACAAGCATTATCAATCCATATGATACATTTGACTCGCACATACCTATTGACAAAAGTTATTCTATAACAAAAATAAGAGAAGTCCAAAGGGAAATGGAGATGAAATAAGCTCACCTCGGTCAATATGCTGCATGTATTTGACTGTAGTGGTATATGCAGACCACCAAACGCGGAGATGACTAATTCTAATGCCATAATAAGTGTGCTAATACGGTCAAGTGCCTCCTTATGGCTGCCTACCACTGACCAGCACGACAGGGATCCGCGAAGGACTCACTCAGCGTATCCCACGTCAAGTTCTGCGCTGTTACCGGGCATTGCTGTTCATCGAGGCGGCGCCCACAGAAGTGTAACTACACTATTTCCGGATTGAATCCTTGTCTAGACTTTGGACGACTTGCGCGAAAAAGTGATGCGTACTTACGAATATGATCCAGGAAGCACGGACTGAAGATATCGTCGCTATGCCAACTGCCCGCCGACACCGACGCCCAACGCGGAAGCACGCCTTGAAATGACAATGACTCTTGAACTGGCCTATAGACGAGCTTTGCCTTTTGCCTTGACTCACACGTCAATCAACCATTTTTTCTCCTCGCTGCCTGAACTGCTTGCCTTTATCCGACTTGGTCCCACGGCCTTCCAAACGTAGCGAAATGAACGCAATGTACTCTTGCGAGACATTCCCGCATCCAGTGGAGTTCCGTTGCAATAGGGTGCATAACTCAGTAAATTGAAGTAGGTTCTAAGTGCATTCTAGCATTCGTCGTCTAGACAATTTTGTCGCGGCAAGTCCTTTTTGTTGATTAGCTTTTGGCTTGTGTAAGTTACCACTCAATGGCCAACGATTAAGAGAGTGAAGTTCCATTTCTGCAAGCTATAACTCGGTTGTTGCCTACCCGACGACGTGCTCCACGGAACGAATGCTTTAATGACATGGATGAAAATGACAACCGAGCAAAACAAGGAAAACCTAAATTAAGTAGTCTTGGCTCTTTGTTTTGTTACTAGCCGAGGCCACGTGGTCGGGTTCCAGGACAGGCCGGACGAATCAGGGATCAGGAATCAAGAGTGTCTATCCACCCGCCCATATCATGGCCTCTGGACTCGTTTCTGTTCCCTCTTCCCACCTTCTTGTTCTTCCCCTCTCTCTTTGTTTTCAGCCACGACAGCGCCATTGTTGCGCAGGGCAGCTTGACGCTCGCCTCAAACTCGCCGGCCTCGAGTCTTCACTCGTTCCTTCTCTTCGTCTCGGCCGAGCCGACTTCAGCTGGTCTTCTCTTTTGTACCCTTTGTATAAACCCCACTTCTCGAGCAGTCATTTAGTCAAGAAATAGGTATACGAAACATGGTCAGCGTTGCAAATAGGATCCTCATATGGTTCAAGTCTGCGGTGAGCATATTCTACATGACACTGCCATGCTATGTGCTGATCCTCTGTCCGGTATCGCCACTCCAGTACATTCGTATAACCCTTACAAAGACCTCAATCGCATTCTTCCTCTTCACTTTTGCGTACTGCTTTGCCCATGCACTCATACAATCCCTCCTGTTCGAGCTTGACTCCGACTCCAACTCACTCACGTCGAGGATAATCTCAACTGCTCAAGTACCCACAAACGAATTTGCTTGGCTGAGTCAGGACCATAGCCCGACTACAGACTCGACTGTGTATACTCTAAAGATTTGCAATGCAATTCCATTCGAGAAGAGCGAAGAGGAGGATCCGTGCCACGTCGTATTTCAGACCGATAACCCTGGTGCTGAATCTGTTCCGAGCGGCCTCAGACGCCGGCAGGTGAGGTGCTTCCTTCCCCGTTCTTATGGAGATGTTAAGATTTCCATGTCAGAATGACTCATCAAACTCAGACGCGACGTCATCTCAAGACGCTTCAGGGTTTGGTTCTGGAGGAAACTTCACCTCGAACATCAGCGAAGCTGCTATATCAGCAGTCTTTGATCCCGTCTCGAATAACGTCTCAAGTATCGATCTTACTTTCCCTGGTATCAATGCCGGGGAGCCGATGACGTTGGACGCTGTATGTACAAGGAATATGCTGTATGCGGATCAGGTCCTCAGAAACTCGAAGAGGGAAGAGATTGCCCTTATTGGTTCGGAATTTTGGCTGCTTTGGACATCGGTGATTGCTGTGCGCATTCCATCTAACGATCGTCACCACCTGGTCTAGAAACTGACGTCGATTATCCTTACATACAGCTACTGTATGGATCCATCGCACACCTGTATGTGCTATCGTTATTTATCATTCATAAAACTTCACTGATGAGATTCTGTGATGCACTGCCCTCGCCTTCTCAACTACGAACCGAACCCGTCGCCTCATGAACAATCTTGACATGTCAAGGTACTCTGCCTTGGCGTTCCGTGTCCTGTCAGTCGGGTGGTCAGCGTACTCAATCTGGCGAACCCACGACATCAATAATCGCTTTGACGTTCTTTTGACAGAAGGCCCGTGTGGGGTGGACCTTTTCCCACAATACTTTAGGCAGCGTACTTCAATTCAGGTATGACAGTATATTAATTCAATATTGCAATCATCTGATGAACGCTTGTTGATTGCCTTCCCAATCTTTAGATCGCAGATCTTGCCCTGAACGCTGTTGCGCTGCTGTTGTTATCCTACCTCATTGCACGTCTAGTGCGTACGTACAAGACAAAGATGTTCCGATGCATTGGACCTCCTGATCACGTCGTAAAAATCCACCGCGTGAGTATTTACATTTTCTTAATGCGAATGATCCGTACTCAGCAGGCGCTGTTCATCGCTTTTAGTTCGTCCTAGGGCTGTTCACTTGTCTACAAGTGGCGATCTATTTCCTCATCACGTCCGCAGCACTATGGCTTGATCAACTTCGGAACGGAGCAATTGCGTCTATTTCTTCCCATATGGCACTGTATCTTGCCATCTTCATCTTCATCTTGGTGCTTCTGCTTCCTTGGATTGCAATTGGGTGGCGCTCCGTGCGATATGAGCAGCGCCTCGCTCTCCCAGTGTTCGTCGTCCTCGGACTGATATTCGAAGCTGGCTGGTCGGGAATGTACGATTCGCTCGTATGGCGTTGGACGTGGATACAATGGCCGTTCTTCGCCTCGACTGCAGTTGCAGCGCAGTTCATTCTACTTGCAAGCGTCGTCCTGGGTATCATCTGTCGTATGAACTTCGGCAAAGGTTTGAAGGAATACCTTGAAGCTGCAAGCGTGCTGGAGAAGGATGATTTCGAACCAGATTTCGTCAGTGATAACAAATCGCCATCCCAGAACTCCGCGGATGACGATCGATGGGTGGCAGATATCGAGAAGGCTGCAAAGGAGCGCCTTTCCCAGGCGCTAGACTTTGGCGCGCATCAGCCTGCTCCTCCGGTATCGCCGCCTGCTTATGATACTAAGAGGAGGATGGACGCTCCTTTGGCTCCTGCTCCGGCGATACTCAACCCCATATCACATGTTCATACAACGTCATCTGATATGCAATATGGCGGACGTACGGAACGCCCGCAGAGTTTCACAGGCATGCTTCCATCATTGCCTTCGTTAGGGAAATACGAGCCTTGGCATAATTCACCGGAAGATGATGAAGATGGTGACAACGGCCACCCGGGACCCAGGGGTCGTATCTAAGTGGACCTACCTTTCTTGTTTCTTTTATTTTAGATTGGACGTGTAGCCCTCCCTCATTCCTATGTTTTCTTTCTTCTCCTTGGATTTTTCGTGAACAGTAAAGGTAGTTGTGTAATGCGTCAGGATCGATGTTAGAAGGCGTACCTGTATGAACTTCGTACACTCTTTAGAGGAGCTATCCTTTTTGTGCCGCTTAATTGCTTACTTCCCATAGAGATACTGAAGGCACAATACGGTATGGTCCTGGTTTAAGGTCTGAAATAAAGTCAAAACAGCACGTGATGAGCTCAAATACACAGCGGCGCGTTGTTTACTTGTATTTACCCAAGCTTGGCAGGATCTCCAAAGAAGATAATGTCCTCAGTGGACGATGTTCGGGATATGTTAATATCATTTGTACATTTCAGTTACAAATTTTAAAAAATTACATCTTAGTAAGGTTATGTATAAAACAAGAGAAGCAACAAGCGTGAAATTGTGAACTTGATCAAAAAAATGGTTGTGAAAGCTTGGGACACTAAGGGACGCATTTATAGAAGTATCAGTACTATTCGTACATCTCTTTCGAAAATCATAACATCAGATATAAGCAAAGTCATAAGCAAAGCAAGAAAACGTGAGGCGTTAACCGGTGTGCTTGTAGATTATTATCGTGGTAGCGTGAGCCTAGGGCGCCAGGGAACGCCTTTGTAGTTAGTCACGGAGATATTATGGTCTCGAACAAGTGTATCAATGCATTTTGGCCATATACTCTTCCGCAGTTCATTACTAATTTTGAGAAACAGTCAGCCCCGATACCTGGAGATATGGATATAAAGGCGGTTTAATCACGTACTGAGTATATGGCCACTTGAACAGCGAGCGAATATGAACGTTCTCAAGTTTTCGAGAGTCCTTCGGGATAGATTCTACTTCGGTTCGGAGTCGGGTGAAGACAGGAATGATGTGTGTCTTTTGGTGGATGACCGCTGTTTCGTGGCTGTTAGGCAAAACATGAGTATGCAATAATATGCGTCGAAGATAGTGTGTGCACCTGAAGCAGATTTCGAGTTTCTTCACTTTATTGATGGAAAGGGCTCGGGATAGAATCTCTATGTCAGGGTCCTGCATACAAGGGTAAGACAGTTGTGTTAACATCGTCCCATTGAGCTCAGTTGAACCTGCTTACGACACCGCCGTGCCCGAGAACGAGCGTTTCAACCTGACCATTCTCAAGCACGGATGCAATAACATTATAAACGAAATCAACTTCAGTCCTAGCTCTTTTATAAAGAGATCCTGCCAAGCTCAGTCGCTTTACTGTGCTTAAACTTTAGAAGAAGAGAAATGAGAAAGAAGATATGAGTGCCGAAAGCAGAAGACGGAATTGTGTTAAGTAAGAAAGGTAAGCTTACTTCCACTGCGAGATTAGCTTAAACACTCTGCCGTCCTCATAATCCTGGATTGTGAGCGTGCGAAGGCGCTCGAACTTCACTCCCACACTTGCGTCATCACTAATGCTTGTATTACATTCGTCTCTTTTTAACTCTTCAATCACGGGTATAACTCCACTGCATCGCAGCCAGAGAACCTCCAACGATTGAAACCCCTCAAAGTCATTTGGGACCAAAACCTCTCCCCCACCAATAATTTCGTCATCTGCCCGTGCATCTGAATCGAGGTAGATATCAAACTTCATCAGTGTTCCTCCAAGATAACGTGCAAGTAAGCGGATGTCAGCGGGTCGAGCCGGGATACTCAGTTCAGTGAGGTGCGTCATACTGCATAGTGCGTTGAGGAAGATGTCCCGAGCCTCTTTCTCAGCGCCAATTACTGATCGTGGATAGCTTGTGACGTAGACGCTGCTGATGTAAGGTGGTATTTCGCTGATTGGCTCGCTGAGGAGGTCTTGTAAGAACTGCATCCCGCAATAGAAGTCGGTAATGGAAACTTGTAGAAACTTGAAGGGTCGAGAAAAGGACTGCATGGTGGATACCAGTAAGTAGTAGAACAGTTATCGACAGTAGCGATATACGCACTTTAAAAAGCTTTGAGACGAGCTCGAAGTTACGAATAACAGTTTCAAATGTGTAGAACTGGGTTTCATCCACTCCGTCTGAATACATGTTCTCGTTCATCATATCGAAGGATGAAAGCGCAAGGTGCACGATCCGCTTTAGTATGCTATCTGGGAGTCGGGATGAGCTTTTTGGAAGCTGGAAAACACTCGACAATCCTTCTAAGTTTCCTCTTATGTCCATGAGCTCATTGAAGCTGCAGATTACAGGTTATTAGTCGCTAAACTGAGAAGTCAATAGCCAAGAATAGGACGTACGTATCGATGAAAATGACTCGCTCCTGAGCCCCTGGCTTCCGAGAGATACCGGCTCTGATCTTTCGTTTCATCCTTACAGGACAGTCGACAATACAGATCCGCTCTGCAATGCTTTTGTCGAGAAGCTTGCCAATCAGAGCTGGAATCCCTGTGTTGCGCGAACCGGAGATAGCAATTGAATGCAACCGCGGTGCTTTTATCAAAGCATCTGCGAAATAGCCTGTACGAGGGATAGTAAACACTTTACTGCGCCACTGAACATGCCACTCAAATGATTCCTAATAAGGGAGACTATCAGTCTCATTAGCTAATTTGATGGAGTGAACAGAGACTCACTAGAGACTGGGAATCTATCATCATCCTACATAACGTCTTAACGACTTTGTCCATGGATGAATTCCGAATAATCGTGCTCCCGAGATCATGAAGTACTACTTTGCGTGGGTCGAGGAAGGCAAGCGCCCGGCAAAGATATGAAGGATTAACTGCTCGATATAGAACGAGACTTAAGACCAGAACTTCAACCCTGGGCGTCCGCTCCACGATCTCCTGAATACCTGCGTAGTATGCGCCTTCTTCAATACGGAGATTTCGGACATATAATCCAAGGTCGGGATACGTGACGAGCGTTGAGCGAAGAGAGCAGACTTGCGCAGCAGAGCGCAGCACGACTGTCTGATAGAGCAAAGGCGTCCCAGCCTCGAGCCACGACTTCGACACATGCAAATACTGCGCGGACGATTGTACTTTGTTCCCAAATCGAGTTCGAGGACTTGTGAATGTGGAGTTACTGACTGTAACGAGGAGTTGCAAGACAGAACGGAGTAGCTCAGCGGGAAGGAGTGAGATGGCGGGCTGTAATGTTACTGGAGTCATGCTGCGACTCGGATGCACACAGTCATGTCGTGGCTCGTTGCCCATGCTTTACTTTGCATATAAGACGGCCACCGGCTGCTGGTGGCGCACGGGCAATGTGGCGGATGCTTTTTTGTATCTTGGGGACAATAGTGAACGGTCAAAAACCGACCTTCAGTGGGCGCAGTGTAGAAGAACGAAAGTGAGTCACATCATATGTTTTAAAGGATCGGCGAGAAATCGATATGTTTAGTTAGTTCTCGCAGAATGCTATGGCACAAGAAATAGCTCACAGACTGCGGGATGCTGCAGCGGCCACATTCCATGGCTCCTACTCATTCGCCCGTGGAGTGATAACTACGATTGTTTAGTTTAACTAATCTGAGTATAAATTATGTTGACTCTTCGCTGCAAACCTGTACAAGTTGTACAACATTCGTATCGAAGGAACGCGTTTGAAGAAATAATGTACGCTTGTAATCTAATATGATAGGGCTCATACCTGTCAATCATTCCACATACTTCCTGTGCTCCACACCATTTTGAGTGTCATCATTGGCAACAAAAATTTTGTAGGAAATAATTGGTCGCGAAGCAGGCTCTTAGCCGGTCCAGGGTGCCTTTGAGGGCGAACGCGTCCAGTCACATTCACGTGACACTTGACGGTCACATTCAGTTGGTCACCAGTCGCGTCAATTCCGCATCCAGACCCTGAGTCCCACGGTTCTTTTTTGGTTAGCTTGAATTGGCCACCCACAGTTCAACTTGAATTTCACTAAGTCAAAATAAAGTCCTTTTCTAATAAAATACATGTTCCCCTCCCTAATCCTAGCCAAAACCCATCCTAACACCCAAACCTAACAACCCAACTTATCCCAAACCTAATTGGCCCCCCAAACCCCCCTCCTAACTTCTTAGTCCAAGAGTTGCCGCACTAGTATTATGTAAGTGGCCATTCAGGGTCATCCCAAATTGGGTCGTGAGACTCAGGGTCTGGATGCGGAAAATCAAAGGTTTTGGTCACCTCACTGCGACGACTTTTCTGTCTTATCGTGGGAATTTTCTTGACAGTTGGTAACCCATAACTATATCAGGACATCTGTCTCAATCCTCCTGTGCACACCGTATGAAGCTCCAGTCCGAATCCGCCGAACGCCGTGCTTTAGGTAACTACTATCTACGTTGGGATCATCAAAACGAGGCATTCTGGATTATGAATGTTCCCTAACACTAGAGGATCACTCGACCATATCAGTGAGTCGGAGTAATCGGACCATCTTCCATGCCGCCTGGCAGAACCTCCAACGTCAGGGCCTTAGGAACTGTGCCACCCTGCGCCTTGGAAGCGGAGCAAACAACTTCCAATGTATCTTCGATGTTGCAGCGTGGATGTGTTCATTAGAGGAAGTGCGTCCTGAAAAGGCCTCACGTTTTGTTCAGCACCTCATGTTGTGACATGCGCTGTGTAAAACCTTCAATACATGCAGTATTGACACACCCCTTGTGAGCTGCCTGTGCTCATTCTCCCAGGATATATGGGCACTGCCTGTAAGCTGAAGGAGCAGTACACTTCACTGCAATAAACCAGGAAGCTGTGTTTGGCCCATCAAGAGTGATCCTTGAGGAGGGCAGTGTAAGTAGGCTGGACTCCAGTTACTTTCTTCTGGAAGTACTGGTAAGCTAATTTTAACTGATAACGAGTACCCCAAAGCATGTTGACTCGACGAGTGTGGAAATTGGTACTGTGTGCCTTCTGTGACGTCCATCGCAGCAGTTAAGCGCCAAGATTTAATTGGCCGATTATGGGCGTTTAATTTGGTAGACATCAATTGTGGATGGTCTTGTGAGCTATTCTTCTCGATGGCCGTGTCCATACCTAGCTCATAGCTGTCCGCTTTGGGATCTTTACGAATGTGGTCGTGGCGACCTTGCACATTTCATATATCTTCCTTACGACATGGTCATGCCTTTTCTGATGGTTATACATGAGTTGCGCCTATTTCAACCCCCCATCCCTTTGTCCTTGTTCACCGCGACTCTAACTATCTCGTCCACCACTATTCCTGAGCACTGATTCCGATGCATCAGTCTCGAAAGAAACCCTGTAATTTTTTCAACAAGCCAGGAGGCTGCAGGAGAGGAGATCGATGCTCGTTTGATCACACAAAACCTCTATCAGAACGTGGTAATCAAGGGTCATCGTCAGAAAGCCACTCTGTAAAGCAGCAGGTGCCGAGGGCTCCTCCGGGTATCTGTGACTTCTACTGGTCAACAGGCTCTTGCAAGAGAGCATTCGAATGCAAGTATCGCCATGTCCTATCTCCCACCACATCGCGTGGGAAGAGCGACGCTGGTGAAAACAGTAGTAACACGGGCTCTTCCTCACTGATAGATGCCCTCGCACCGTTTCTCACCCCGTCCGGGCTGTCTGATATGACTGGGACGGGTGGTGATGCGTTCCACGACTCCTCCGACTCTCTCGACCCTCAGCAAACGCAGGGCTATTTAGTGAAGTTTTTACGGGACAATTATCGCTTCCGCTCTCCAGCGGAAATGTGTTCCTTCGCAAAGCTTTTGGCTAACGCGTCGTCAACAAATAAGTCTTGGGTACGCCTCTACTGGACAATACTGGCTACATACTGACAATACTGTCCAATTGTAGACTAACGAGGAAGGCCAGGTATTTCCCACCAGCAGATCTGTTGCATGTATTCTCACTATTTTTCACAGTTACTTCTCATAGCTATAGCAGCAGTTCGTTTCTTCGCCTCGACCGTGTCGGAAAGTACTGAAACGATTGTAGGACAACGGTCGGCTTCGTTTAACCGAGGTCTTGTGCTACACCAATGTGTCGGCAATTGTTCGATATGATCCTAAGGTACTATCGTTTCAGCGCGGATACCTACCACTTTTCCAGGTACGCGATTGTGTATGATTATAATATTCCTTTTACTTATTTTGCTAATGCAGTATCTGTCCTCAAAATACGTGATAAAGAGTACACTTGTTCATTTCGTGAAGTGATTTTTTCCTTTTCATCTTATTCCTTGGTGGCAAGCCTCTGATAATTTGCAATATAGTTCACTTTACGCATTGTTAGATAACAATCTCGATTGTATCGTATCGAATTTAGACGGGTGTTTGGGCGCCGTCGTGAATTCACGGACGTTTGGAGAGACGTCTTCCTCATCTGAACCATCTGGTGCTGTTGTGTTTGGGCCTATCGTTACAGTCGTCTATGAGTAAGCGTTCTAATGTCGAACGAGGAAAAAAATCTGACGTCTTTCAACTTCAGATACCTTTCACGCTTTAAGAACGCGCTGGCGACACATAAAGACTTAGGACAATTTGTTTCGAAACTCGGTCACTGGGTCGAAGAATGGGCCAACGACATCTGCTCTACCGCTCCAAAATTTCGTGACCTCCTTACCACTCCAGAGAGAAAACATGCTAGAGAGCTCGTCGTTGATCACATTAAGGATCGCATGCAGCGTGTTACTAGCATAGTTGAGCGGGAACAGGCCGGAATCGATCGCTCCGCTGTACGGAGGGTACAGCACAACGCTGAAACTGCTTCAAAAGTCGCTTCAACGGCACTCCTGCATGCGCTTGAAAATTACTACGAAGGGCCTGGAGAGGAGAGGAGAGACGGTCCACGCCACGATAATGATCACGTCGAGATTAGTTCCATCCAAATTGCACCGACTGACGGGGAATTAACTTGCCGCCTTGTACCATTCTTGCCTGCAAACATTCCAAATGCGCCACACCCATTCCCAGACGGCAGCATGCAGAGGCTCCTTGATATCCAGTTTCGCCTTTTGCGGGAGGAACTGCTGTACGAATTTTCATTCTGTTCCATTTCTTCTGTCCTTGACATGTATTTTCAGTGCTCCGTTACGAACCTCTATGCAGGTTGTGTTGGACGACATGGCGGCACCGTCGTCACGTAAAACGCAACTTAGTGAGCTGATGAAAAAGAAGGGTGGGCGGTATAACTATCAGGATCAACAAGATTCAGTACTGTTCAACGTATACACTGGCATTAGATTCTCAAAGATAGATATGGATTCGCGACGGGGGTTGGTAGTGGAGCTACAACTAGATACTCCGCCTGGTAGCGCACGATCCGACAAGGCCAGCGTACGAACGGCGTATTGGTCAAACGGGAAACGACTGATGCAGGGTGGCCTGGTTGCTGTAATGTGGAAACGCAGCGGACGTGTGGATGTACATCTCGGGATTCTTTGCAGCAGTAGTGAAGGGCTTGCAGATGCAGCAAGGGCCAGCAAGAATGTGCTGCGTGTTCGCGTGCAGTTCTTTGATGTACTGGTCAACATCAAGGTCCTTGAGCACATCCGAAGCAATGCTAGTAGGAATGAATCCGGTGAAGAAAAGTTGATGGTTGAGTCGTCTGTTATGTTCGAGGCAGTTCGGCCCTTCCTCGAGTCTTTAAAACGAGTACCGGAGACCATCCCTTTTGAGAGGTATCTACCGCTTCATTCACCAGCTATTTTATCGAACTTGCAGATCAGTCCTCCTGCATATTCAAAAACACCGGGCTTCGCGTTTGATTTGACGAGTCTTCTCCGTACGGATGACGAACTAGGGCCTGATACACTCCAACTGTTGACAACAGATCCTCCCTCTGTTGCCAACGCACGCGCTCTACTTTCTGAGAGGAGCCGACTGGATCCAAGTCAAGCTGAGGCTCTTGTTGACACGCTTACACGAGAGATAGCTCTTATCCAAGGGTAGGCAATGCAGTGATTAAAGAGGCTTTATGCTAACGCATTCTCTGTATAGGCCTCCGGGAACAGGAAAGGTATGGCACCTGCTTAAATAAATTTGCAGAACTAACTTTTTTCTGCCATTTGCAGACGTTCATGGGTGTCGAGCTCATTCGTGTGCTGGTCGAGAATAATATTGGCCCTATACTACTAATTGCATTCACAAACCATGCTTTAGACCATATGCTTAGTTCAATCGTCAACTCCGGTATCACTAACGACATAGTCCGCTTAGGAGGACGATCTGCGGACGAGATGATCAAGAGTTATTCGATTGAAGAACTCGAGAAAGCGTCGGGTCGCTCTTATCTTGACCGGGCTATGAAAAGCGAGTACCGTGCAATCAAGGAGACGGAGGAAGAAATCATGAAATTGTTGAAGCGTGTCATCGAGAGACATGTCCCATCCCATATACTTTTGAACCATATCAGCATACCGTACCCGGATCACGCCTTGTGTCTTGAAAACCCCCCTGCATGGATCAATCAGCTCCATTCCATGCAAAATGACGCTGGTAGCACTACGGATTACGCGGAATGGGAGATCGCGGGCGGAAAAGGGTTTAGACAGGGCATGGATACCTCACTTTACGCGTTTTGGAAGACAGCGGGGGACTTGGAATTCCTTCGTGCAATCCGAATGCAGAAGAAACCTTCTAAAGGGACGGATCCTACGAGCAACCGCTACGCAAATCTTCTTGCCGACAATGATGAAGACGATGATGAAGACGATGAACAAACACTGATATTTTCGGAAGTGGAAAGCGTATCGACGGCGCCAATGGAGTATGGTTCGCAGAGTGACACTCAAGCTTCTGGCGAGGAGGTGCCGCAGGTAGTATCAGATTACTCGAATGCGGAAGTGTTCCTGCTCTCCAACGGAATATCAGACATCCCTGTGGAACCGGTTTCTGATCGAACTGTAGAGATGCTCCTTCAGGAGGACCCGTGCAATATGTGGAGCTATTCCATTTCGGAAAGGGCGCGACTTGATGATTACTGGGGCATGGAATATCGGGAGTTGTCGTATCGGTCGCAGAAGCAGCGTTTTGAGGCGTTGGTCGAGAAACATTCGGAGCTCAGGGAGAGGCAACGTTGCAGAAATGAGGAGGTGAGTTGTCTGCTTCCAGTAAGTATGTTAATTGACACACTCGCGTCAGATCCGCCTAAACATCATGCGGAATAGGAAGTTGGTTGGTTGTACGACGACAGGCTAGCAGACCAATCACCATTCTATATTCGCCCATGCTGATTATGAATCTCAGGTGCTGCAAAGCTGATATCTCTGCTGAAGGTATGTTATGCCACCAATGCGTTTCTCTGTTTCTAATGCACTATTTTAAGGGCCTTGGGCCTCGGGTAATGTTAGTAGAGGAAGCAGGACAAGTATTAGAATCCCATGTTCTCGCAGGCCTGGTCGATTCTGTTAATCATCTAATACTCATCGGCGATCCTCTGCAGCTGCGGCCGACTCTTAATAACTACGGTACGGACGGCCATCTTCTGAATATATTTTGTAGATCTGAGCGTTTTCGCACCAGCTCTATCGATGGACAACCCCAGAGGAAAGGACTTGTATCGGTTCGACATGTCGTTAATGGAGCGACTATCCTCCAATGGATTTCCAATGTCGCAACTGAATGAGCAGCGGAGAATGCGTCCAAGTGTATCATCTCTAATACGGTGTGGTTTTCGAATACATTATGCTAATTAAACCATCTCACGTACTGGTTAGGGATACTTTATATCCTAAACTCAAAGATCATGAAGTCGTCTATAAATACGCACCCGTCCGTGGTATGGATAAGGACGTGTTTTTCTTATCTCATGGGAACAAGGAGCATGGTGGCGGTGATGACTCTGTCTCAAAACATAATCCGTATGAGGTAACTACAACCCCAATGTTTAAATAATATTGTCGTGTACTGACTACAGTGATAAAGGTGCTGATGATCAAGGATCTTGTAAAATACCTACTCCGGTAGAAGCAGTTTCACTTTGTTTAAAAGTCAATGCTAATATGACGCTTTACACGATAGTCAAGGGTCTTACTCGGCCGATGGGAGTATTGTTGTGCTCTGTGCATATCTGGGCCAACTTGCTAAGGTCAGGGACGCTTTGAAAGGAGAGATGACAGTTGTTATAGATGAGCGCGACCAGGACGCTTTGGCAAAGCATGAAGGAGAGCCTGATGTGGATGAAACGATTTCCGTCGAGCGTGTACACATCACTCAACGCGTGAGGTTTCAGTTTACTTAATTACAGTTGAAAAGGTCTGACCAGCGATTGTTGGTTGCATATCTTTAGGTTAGAATACGTTCTGTTGATAACTATCAGGGAGAGGAAGCCGACGTAAGTGTACTTAGTATTTATTTCAAGACGAGCAATTCCCGAGATGTCAACCTAGATTGTAATTCTATCCCTTGTAAGAAACTCTGGTGGAGGGCATGAAAGCAACGTCCATGACATTGTTTCTCGCAAAGCGAATGCGAATATTGGTTTCCTCAGGGTGAGTTTATGTTACATTACTGTTTTCGTTTTACTGACTAGATATTAGTCTAAGAATCGGACAAATGGTGATCGTTATGTGGTTGTAACTCGTCTAACTTACTAACTCGTCTGCTCAGTCGCCCTTTCGCGTGCTCGACAAGGTCTATATATTCTCGGCAATGCCTCCGATCTGGCTTCGCGTAGCTCGATGTGGTCGTCAGTTATTAGTCAGTTGGAAGAGGCAGCTGCGATCGGAGAAGCGATCCCAATACGTTGTCACCGTCACCCCGATGATTTGAGATACATCTCAAAGCCGGGGGAGCTCCCGAAATTGTCTCCCGATGGTATGTCACTCGATTTTGAATATTGACTATATGAAGTCGATCCTTAGCTTGATCTCTAGGTGGGTGCTTACGAAGCTGCGGGGAGAGACTCGAATGTGGGCACACTTGTCCATATAAGGTAGGACGAAGCCCAGGGATAACTTAATTCAGGTATTCTTATCACTTGTATAGTGTCATTCGGACGATCCGAATCATCGCAATGTGTTCTGCACTCAGCCGTGTCCAAAGCTGTGCTCCAAAGGGCACCCGTGCCGCAGGCAATGTGGTGAACCGTGTGGAAAATGCGTTCATCCAAGCCGTGATGTCGCACTTCCTTGCGGCCATGTTCACAAAACCGTGCTATGGTGAGATAAAATTCAGTATTTATCGATCGCGACTGACTCCGAGACAGCCATCAAATGGACGACTTGGCTGAGATCAAATGCATGGTGAAGGTCGTGCGAGACCTCCCGACGTGCGAACACAGCGTCGGGATGCCTTGTAGCTCTGATGTGAAGGAAATCAAATGCCAGGCCCTTTGCGACGGAAAACTGCCTTGTTGCGGGAACCTGTGCAAAGCGAAATGTCACGCATGCCAAGATCCTCCTGAAGATGATGCACGTCTTCAAGTCCGGTCACGTACCCGACATTGCTCTCATGAATGTGGAAGGCCGCTGTACTGTGAACACACGTGCCGAGGTACCTGTTCTGCTGATCACAGGTGCCTGGACAAGTGTAAGGAGAAGTGCAGACAGTCGTGTGCTCATGCTCAGTGTCGATTGCCGTGTTCGAAACCCTGTGCTCCTTGCCAAGAGCCTTGTACATGGTCAGTCGTACAGATCCATGTTATGAACCTCTTTTTAAATAACAGTGTCTCGACAGGTCGTGTCCGCATCACTCCTGCCCGGTCCCTTGCGGCTCGGTAAGAAACCAGAACAAGGGTTACTACGTATCGGATCTAATATATTCTAGATGTGTGCACGTGTGCCCTGCGATTTGCGCTGCACAAACTTACTATCGTGCGGGCATCAATGTCCTTCTGGTATGTGCTATCAACTCTTTGGCGTGCTTAATTTTCTCAAGTACGAGTCATAGTCTGCGGAGAGAATTGCGCTGACCAATTATGTCTCGAATGTTCGCCAAAAGACAAGCTCACCTCGATAGCGGACTTCATAATGCAGCGATCACTCAGTGAACTGGACCCATCAAGAGGAACAATCGACGAACTCGTCATTACGCTGGCTAACTGTAAACATGCGTTTACGGTTGAGACACTGGATGGCCATTGTAGCCTTCACGATTATTACGTGCACGTTGAAGGTTCTTGGAAAGGTTTGAAGGCACCTGAAACGGGGTTCAAAGTACCACCAACTTGCCCGACCTGCCGCTCTGCGATACGTTCTCCGCGATACGGCCGAGTCTATAAGCGTGCAGACCTCGATATCCTTGAGAGAAATGTTACATCTGAACTGTCTACTTCGCTTCAAACGGCCTCTGTCAACCTCGATTCCATCGATAGCGCAGCGCTTCGTCGTACACTCCGGGATGCATTTTGTGATCTCGCTTTCGGCGCGCCACCCACCTCGGACGATGAGATTCAATCAAAGAAAAAGGCTAGGATGAAGGTTCTTAACTGTAACGGCGAGAATCCTGTCGCATGGGAGCACATAAACCCCCGGGGTCAGCTACACGAAGTCAAACCGGATATTGCGCAACGCTGGACAAAAGAAGTAAAGCATATCGGAGCTGTCTACCAAGCCGCGATCAAGGTTGCTTCTACTCGTTCAGCTCACTCGAAGGCATGGGAATCGGCATTTTCTAGTTTGTATCGACAAGAAATCGATGATGCTGTTGAAGATCCGACTAGAGCCCCACGTCATCCGAAAGAATATGCTATGCGTATGGCAAATATGAAAGTTGGACAACCCAAACCTCGTGCAGATAAGCGCTTCTGCGTCGAAGCCATTTGGCTTACATTACGCATTCGCCTCCTTCTCGTGGATGTTGCTTCGGAGTGGCTAACGCCTGTCAACACTCGTCTCGACCAGCATTTCACGTCGTTTAAAGAATCGTGGATCAAATTCATCAAGTTCGTTCTCGAAACTTGCGAGCGCGATGCAAGGGTCGCTATGCGTATCGCAACAGCATCCGAAAGCATTAAACAAGCTTTGCGGTCAAAGGTGTTTGCTCTTAATTCGAGGTTTGAGGCCTTCAAGTTCAATTTCCGTTTCGCGCACGAAGCGAAATTGACAGCAGAGTCTCGTGAGGAACTCGCTGAACAAATTTGCAAGGAACTTGCCTCCGTAGACAAAGCTCTGGCTTGGGGACAGGTCCTTCTTCGTATGTCAAGAAGCGCTAAAGTCATTGCCTCAGATTTTGCTAGTCTCTTCTACGAACCAATTAATGCAATACGTGAAGAATGGATGAACTTGGAGCGTTCAATCCGCATGGACACCGTCTACAACCCAGTGTCATACGAGGAGAAGAAGCAAATCGTAGCTGCCCTGAGGGGAAATTGGGACTTCAGTAAGTAGACTTAATATATTGCTGGTTGACCAAAACTAACACATTTTCCAAAGCCCATTCGGGACACTTTTACCAGTGTCCTAACGGACATTCGTTCATCATAACAGAGGTGAGTTATTAATTGAGCTAAGTTTATAACATACAACCAATTTCCGAAAAAAACAATCCGCTCTAATTACAGTGCGGAGGTGCCATGCAGACTGCCTCATGCCCTGAGTGTGGCGAAGCCATTGGTGGTTCAAATTACAACCTTATCTCGAGCAATAGACGTGATACTGAGCTTGAGGCAATCGCTCGCGAACACGGTGCCCAGGCAAGCCCATGGCCATAGGGACCGTGATCGTCTAGTTATTGTCATTGCATTTCATTGAGTATTTTATTCTGTGCGTACAGTCAATAGAACGACATCATTTGCGTTTGATGCATGCAGTAGTATTACCTTCTTCGTAGTGCCGCCCAATAGTCGTAATATATAAATGTGTGCTTTGTACTCAATATGCCTTTATATGGAACCTTGTATGTTCTATAACTGCATTGACGTCGCCCATAGCGTGTATCTGCCAGTTTGTGTAGTATTTGCACTTGCACTAGAAAGACTTGCAACCTAGTATCATGCAGCCTATGTCAATATTTTGCATCATCACTGCCATAACCATTATCTTTCTAACTACTCGCCCGTGAGAGAGATATCTTGATCAGACAAATATAGTATGCAACAATAGCACTCTTCCGCTTTATCTAGCAAGTCGCATTTCTTTCTGAATTACAGGAAAGGTATTTTCTATGGCGTTGTTTCATTCCATTTCCATTAAGTACTGTTTGTAGAATCACATTAACACGCTCGTCCGGGTCGTCATGTATGTCCACTGGTGCATTAATTACTGAAGTCGAAAAGTCTGATCTTTGACATTGTTGATATTGATAAGAACAGTGGAATGAAAGATTAGTACGATAAGACATGAGGAGATTATTCGGCACAATTAGATGCATCTCTCGGCTTTTCGTGCTATGTCGATTCAGAATCATAGTACAAATTTTCGTTACAACAAATCTTAAAATTACAAGACCGTCCACCAATTTCCTGAAAAGAAGTATTTCCCTTTACCATAAGTATGTTACACCTCCATAGCATGATCTGTGTTTTGGAATACATTGCTCTGTTTCTTCTCGTGCCCTGATCGTTCTGTTCGTGACCCGGAGCTAACAGACGCAGTCCGCCGAGCCTCGAACGTTGAAAATACCATGTTTGATACGGTCTGTTTGGCCGAGCACTCCGTGATGAAGGATTTGCCCCTTGCCACTCGGAATATTATAAGATTAGGAGCGATTACCTGCGAAAACGAGGTTATGAACGCTATTTTCTAGAGAATTTCTGCAAGACAAACCTGAATGATTCCCTCGATTGCGAAAAAAGTAGATTCCGTCGGGTTATTCGTTACGAATGTAGCCAGCACCAATAACTCAAACACAGCATATAGGGCAGCGCTCTCAATAGAGATGACGAGTATATCCGTATAAATCTGTCCGTGATTGTGTCCGAGAACAGAACGAACCCGCGATCGATGCCATAGGAGACGGCCCGCAATGAGGATCGTTACGATCACGTTGAGAGCGAGAGAAAGGCTCCAATTCGAAATTCCGAAAACTTGCACTAATCGAGTACTGTACGTCGCTCCTGGAGCTGCGGTGAATACGAGAAGCGTGATGGATGTAGCCACCGATCCAAGGTATACGAGCATGGGGAAGAACAATACTGGGAACTGGAAATGACCGTTCCAAACGATAAAGCAACGATGGAGCTGGTGACATATAGTCAGTATATGTTAGAAATCCGAGTGACCGAGAACGTACCAGATATGCATCCGTGAGCCAAGTATTGATAGAATACAGCACATCCCTCAGAACTTGAGGCCAGACAGAGATGGGATCGTGGGTGAGTGGCTGATCGATGAGCTGTTTCTGCGCATAGTTCATCGTAACGCCAATATAAGCAGTGGTGATACAGAGTAAAGTTGCCGTATAGATTGGCAGGATGCGCGATCCTCTGCGAAACAGGAAGTACAGGTTGCATAGCGCTAATGAGACATACGACCCTGTAGATCACATCCTTTGTAACTTCTAGTTTCAAAATGTTCAAGTAGAACGGAGCTCACCATACAGCATAGACCCCAGGATTGCGCCAATGAAAGAATTATCAATGAAGGACTGAAATGCTGGATTAAAACTCGACATTTTGATGGGTACAAGTGCGGATGCCCTTTCCAGAAGGGTTCGAAAGTAGGTGGTGACAGGACCTTTCTGAGAGAGCCGGCCTTTTTAACAATGTAGAAAGCCTATCTGCTTCGGCGCAGCCGCATAGGTCCATTGCATGACAGCTAATTTCCCATGTCAGCTTCTTAACTTCTGTGTTACCTGATACCTGATGCATTCATATTGCCATCACGCCTCGAACCAACTGGTGACCCATCAAAACATCTCGCGGGAGGCCAACCTGTCAGAATCGTGGAACCAGCAACAGATCGAGCCAACTACGAGGCTAAATGCTCCGCCCTAGCGTCAACACATGCTGTCTTGCAGTGGAAGCATGAGAAACTGGGTTCCGTGATCGCAGAAGTCGTCAAAACGTACCGTTATACCAGAAGTACTGAATTATTTGCCACACAAGGTTTTCAATTGGCGAGTAATTATACGATCAGAATTTGGTTGTGAGAGAAATTCAATACTCCTTCCATATATGACTTTGTCATATGGTCGCTCAAAAAGTCGACACATGGCCTGAGTACGAATATTACGTCAATATTAATGAGCCAAATACATAAACCCAACTTCTCTACGATAGAGCGATTGAAAAAGTAGTATGTGTCCAAAGGCGGAGAGTAAACCTGCATGAAATCTAAGTCACGCCGATTTTCGGAACGGGACATCCACGAGAACGGATGGTCCCACCTGCATTGGCGATGAGCGCGCTCAATGAAGTTGATAGACTACGAACCCATGGGCTTTCAAGATTTTGCCGCCAAGATAAAATGCACCCTTAGAAACGCTGACAGATTTCTCACTGAGCAAAGGATACCACGACCTAAGTTCCAAGTTCTAACCGGCCACACATCCCTCCGATGCGTCAGCATGAAATACAAGGTTTCCTGGTGGAAATAGTCTCGCGTCGACACGAATTCCCAAGTGAAGCCCATCGGGATGTTGCGAATAGGGCAGGTCCTACAGTGACATCAGTCGGAGCGTCATTATTGGAGCACAAAGAAAATATAAGGAAAGTCAATTCTTCGTATCGAATCTGGCTGCAATTTACTACTCACCATACGAAACTCATTAACCGTAATCTAATCCGCACATAGAGATGACTTCCAACGTCAATAGCAGTCAGTCGCTACCTTGCCGCTCTATACACAACTTGCTCATTTTCCATCCGCTCTAGGCACGCAGGAAGCCCGTGCAAAAGCAGAAAAGACTGCACAAGCAGCGGGCTTTGATTCACACCCCGAGCTCATCAAAGCCACCGGGGTGCTCGAATCGGAGGTGACCACTCTCACTGGAAGGCGTTACGCAGATCGTCCTGAAGGCCTTGATCAGTTCGGTGGCGAGGAAAGCGAGCGCCTACGCGTACATAATGTGGAGATGCAAACCAGCTCGGGGATAAACGAGGTCTTGAAGAAGTACGAAGGAAATCCTGGAGGTGTTGATACATTTGGTGGAGAGGACACTGAGCGCAAGTTGTGACGGTGCAGAACCAGACATTAGAAATGTTGCACAAACAAATGACAACTGTATTTGTATTCACTATTGTAATTTCATCTAATCGCACATAATGAATGCAAACCGTATGGCTTGCTTCTTGAAGAACGTGAAGTGTAAAGTCCAAGGTTTATATAATGAAGGAATAATATAGTAGACGTTGTATAGAGTGGGGGTCCTACTTTCGGTTGTGCGAAACGCGCATTCCCACGGTCCTCAGAAAGGACAGTCGATCCATTAGGTGAGTGTAAGTAGTGTCCCTAGTAGAGCAGAAGTTTTGCAAGAGTTACTCTACAATACACACTGACAGTAAAAGAAGAAAAAAATAAATTTAATAAATTTAATATTCTGAAGAAACTTTTGTCAGAGGGATTTGTCTTATAAATAAGAACTGAATGAGGTACAATAGAAACACTACAAAAATTCTACTTAAATCAGCTATATACAAGCTAATAATTTTTTTCAGCTAATTTCCCTCTGACAAGTTGTAGAGAATGAATTTAAAAAAATTACCAAGTAGTTTTTGGTGTGGTAACTGTACTTTGTGTCAAGAAGTAACATTAAGAGAATTCCTTGTTCATACAAAAGTTGATACGCGTCTCACAGTTTTATTCAGACCTTGAGTGTAGATCATTGACTGTATACATCTTGTGTAGACAAATAAAATCAATGCTTATATTTTTTGTTGATTGCACCACTTTATTATATTGAATATGATATAATCTTACTACTCATATAAATTTTTGAGGCATAATTAACATGCTGTAGTTTTTACACTGAATACTTGTGTGGGGACAATGTCACCACTATATTTCATCTAAAAAAGGCAAGATCGGCGGCGGAGTCGAAAATCCCATGGACGCGCGTCACTTGGGAAAGTAGGACCCCCATATAGAGTCGCATCGACACATTTCGCGTCCTAAATTCGATCTACGTTACGTAAAGCAAGTGTCGTAAAGAGGAGCATGAATGGATTGTACACCATCTTATAGCACTATAAATTGATCGAGATGTGATATCAGCACAGAGTAGGGGTTAAGTGTAAATTGACTGTTGATCGAATGAGATGGGAATATGATGAGTAAAAGGAATTGGATACAGATGCAATGAAGCAAAGGAAGATTTTTTTTTTTGGTTTGGCAGAAGATGTTACATGATCTATGCTTTTGAGTTTGCTGAAGTACAAGAAAATGAAAGTCAAGATGGACAAAAGTTGCCCTCTTAGAGAGAGTGTACAAAGATCAGTGGCTAAGAAGAACTATTGCAATGATATAATATTAGACTGGTTTGTAGATGCGTTTCAAACTTGATAGTTCGTTACAGCAGTATTCGGACGGATCAATAAATACGAGTTGCTCGTGATCGAAACGGAAGTTGCCTATGAACAAGAGTTAGTCCTTCGACAGCACACATCCAAATGGCTCTTACAATGATACGGATTCAAGTGTCTTTCATTGAAGCGTCGTTCTCCCAAAAGAGTGGGCCATTCTCAATTAGTAATTCCTCGAGTAGTTTAACTCGGAATTCTAGTGCTTGTGTTTGAGCTTCTAAGATTGCGTCGCGGACCCTCGTTTTTGCAGCTTCTATCCGTGCGTGAAGTTCGTCGCGCGCATTCTTCACAGAGTTGGATCTTTCGATGAGATCTTTTGTGTTCTGTCGGATAGCGTTGCGAACAGCCTCTAATATAATCAAAGATTGATCAGAATGCAGTACGAAAAGTATGGAAGTGGCGTGGAGATCCACCTAGACCTGGAGGAGTGGGCTGACGAAAGAACACGGTCTCACCCCGAAGGTCCTCTGTAAGGTTGCAATACGGAAGGATCGATTAGTATTTTGTAAGAGAGTACGAGGACGAGAACGTACTGAACTCAATGTTGATTTCGTTCAGTATGTCGCCAATAGAGTAGGTTGTTGTGGTCGTGGGCCCGACGGTGTCAGAGTGATAATCGTTCACAGAACACGAATACCTGCTGGACGATTGTGACGACTGATCAGACATAGAGCTAGGGGGATAAGAAGTGTGGTAGGTCGCCCACAAACTGTCGATTACAGACTGTGTCTTGTCGGGAGCAGGCGAACGAGGACCGAACGGACTGTTCTGTAAGGATTTTGCACAAGAGAAGGTGCTAGGCCAGAGGTCGCTTCTCGTTCGTTCAACCATTTTGAATAAGCAATAGAGGAGAAACCGGAAGACGAGAAATCCCAGTAGGATCCGAGTCGTATTAGAGCCCTTTATATATGTCTGACACATAGTTAGAGATAGGAGACAATTAAGCGCCGCGCAGTCAATCGAGACCTCGAACCAAATCATAGCACGTTCTCGAAAGGGAATGTAGAAGGGCGCGCCTTATAATAATCGGTGTTCGTATTCACGGAACGGCTACAAACAAGATTAGGAGTCGGAAGAGAAAGTGACCAACGTGAAGGATGGCTAATATGTCGCTCTTCACATGCGCAGTCCTTGTTCTTAGGGATCAGGCGGGCCTGCAAAGGGGCAAGTGCCGAATATTCGTTTGGTGCATATGCACAATATAAAAAGAGCTTGCAAGGAAAAGCAGTTGAGATGAACGATTACGTATCAGCGAAGCGCAGATAGGACGAGTCAGATAGCCTCAATGATACCAGATAAACGAGAAACCAGAGCAAACATTAGTGATATTCCAAGAGCTCTATTGCTGCATGCCAATGAGTGGAAGCCTCTAGCTGAAACAAGTGTCGTAAACATCGAATTGGAAGGACTAGAATCACAGATTCACGACGAGCAGGGAAGTGAGTTTGGCTTGCACTTGAGCCTGAAAAACGCGGTCAGATACTTCATAATGACGAATCGCTGCAAAATTGCACAGAAAAGATCAAAGAAACGAGGAGCTTATATCGATCGGGGCAAGATCTGAAAGGAATTAGTGTGGTCGAAACCTGAAAATTGTGATATGAGCATACGTCATTGAATTAGCACGTGATCCGACATCCGAAGCGAAACCGTAGAATTATCGGCATGACGTACACATCGTTCTACTCCGTCACAGCACCAAAATGTCTGCGCAATCACTCTTCTTACTGTGCCACCACCAGCAGTACATTCTTTGTTCACAATGTCTTCAATAATACTCTGTCGCGCAGCTCGTCAGCTCGCAGCACGCTCCGTATTTCGCCCTACTGCAGTCGCATCTACCCGGTTTGAGTCAACTAGGTTTGTCGTCATAGCTCACACATCATTGGTTACTCGATTTCTAAGAATAAAAGATTGTATTCCAGGTACTTCTTATTCATCCCTATCCACACATTTTTGACTCCAAATATCATGCAGCACAGTTCACGAAAATGATCCGGAGGTACGACTCCTAAGGTTCGGTTCTGAATCAGGTTGACAGTTTGGTTTTTCTCCTTCGCTCACAGGTTCTAGAACGTGAAAAGCAGAGGAACCTCAAAGGGAAACAGCACAAAACGTCCACGCCGCATAAACATGCCCCGGGATGGAACGAATATTTAGCATCCACATCCGAAGCAAACGTCAAGGCCGATCGTGCAGAAGGTACCCCTGAAGTTCTTCAGAAGTCGACTACTGAGTATATTCGCGCCCGTGATTCTGGTGAAGAAGATGAATATACGGAAAGGGATATACACGCGAGTTCGGAATTGAAAGAGGAGATACAGGGGCCCCTGCGCAGTGCGAAGGGAAATGTGGCAGACCGTGCTGAGAGAAGCGAAGGCGTTCACGGTGGGAAGCCCTAAGAGGGCGAGATAGGTGCGCATACACTCATCGATTTGACTAATACGGCTAAATAACTTTGCAGGAAACGCCTCAATGAAACCATTTCAACGCCGTCCGTCCAATGTATGTTGTGTCAAGCAAGATCCGTGTGATACGTCATTATACATAGCCAATTGTCCTCGCAAAATGCAGTTTTCCTTTGTGCACTACTGTTTTCCCCGCTCTGATTGTTCTGCTACGAACGCTATGTGTTGAAACGCAATTCACCTATGTTCGTCATTCAGGCTGTTTCGTCGCACTCGCCAGCGCACTTACGCACGTGTATACATATTATGGGGACGCAGCTGTGATTACCCGGACAAAAGCATGGCAGATGTGGTGAATTTCTGGAATTTCATCCAAACGAGATCGACTGAAGTGACATACGCGATTGTTGGAATTGGAGTGCTCCGCTTATTTCCAAGGCATGGCGACAGAAAGCTTGACGGTTTTCACCGAACACTTCTAATGCTCCCGTCTCAAACGAACGGTTAGAGTTTCTAAGCACTGTGGTCTCGATACTAAGGATACAAGCGTCCCATCACATATTTTTTCAGCAAGAAATCAATTACATTAGCAACGACTCCAGTACTTCCTCATCCCTTAACAAGTCCAAAATGTGCTGTGCCTCCCTCGCTTGCTTCAGTCTCTCCTCATATTCCACTTCCATTCTCGTCCGCTCTTGCTTATCCTCCTTTGCTTTCCCTTTGACAATAATCATCCACGCGGATTCACTGCGCACGGGTTCTGGCATTTGCACTTTCGCTTCATAGATTGCTATCATGTCTTTCGCGGCTTCGTAAAGTGTGCGTCTCACTTCATGAGGTGCACATCCTTCTGCCATTGCGTTGACATAATCATCCCATGTTGGAGAGTCGTTCCCTGTGAGGATTTTTACCATTTCGTCGCGTCGCTTGTTGAGTTCTGTCCTTCTTTTAATGCTTTGCTCGGCGTCAATATCCTGCGTGCGTAGATCAGCACCTTTGGAGCGGGGAGAAAGAGAACAAGTTGACTAACTCCGGTAATAGCAGCTCCAATCTCTTCAATCCTCTTCATCATATCCTTGGATTCCTTTTGCAGAGTGTCCTTAAACACTTCCATATCTCTCGATTCTCTCTGCAAGAGGTCCTTGAACTCGTTCTTCATATTTGCAAATTCGCTCTGCAAGTCTCCAATACTCGACCAAACAGCGAAAATCCTCTGGCTCAGCTGCTCCACTTCTAAGTCGTGTGTGTCCTGCCACCCATTCAGCAACTCGGCCTTTTCGCGCACGCATTGCATTAACTCGTCCACCTCTGCTTCGAACTCTGCGACATGCGCGACTACGCCTATTCGGCGTTTGTGCATCATAAGTGTGAGTAATCATTTTATTAACAGATAGACAAATGGACTGACTACTAGTTGGCGTGTAGGCAGATTGAGGAGGTGATGCCTCTGCAGGATCCGGCGATGTAGAGTCAATCATTCCGGCATCATCCATGTGTTGTTGTCGACTCAATTAGCTGCAGTTAATAGTGAGTCACAAAGGCTCGAGACGGTCGGGATGTCCTTCATATATCGCAGCAGATTAGGGGTTTGCTGTATTTTTTTCGCATTGCTCAATGATAGCTGTGACCGCAGCACACGGTGCATTGTAAAGTGTTGTCGTTCTCCGACTATTTTTGATGTCCGTCCCGGAATTTCCCTGAATTATGTTACCTTAGTACTATGTAACCGGGGTGCTTCCAACTTTACTGTTTTATGTTTGCTTCATATTTGCGACAACATTTAATACGCGGTCAAGTTACATCCAATGGTTAATGTAATGCAGAATAATGAAGAAAAGTACGTGTATGCAGACATAGTATAACAGATGCTAGTGGATGGTTAGTATATCAGCCGAAAAACAGATCACAGCGAAAGAAAAGCAAGCAAAACAATGGGGCAAAAGCATGGATCCCAGTCCTCAGTCTGTGGGGTACAGTAAAAGTTGTAATAATCCTTCTAATGCTCTAGATTCAGGAAAGAAAATCGGGAAACCGGTTCCGCCTTCTAAGTATCCGTGTCAGATAACAGAGTAGCCTCCATCGACAAGGAGTTCTGCTCCAGTAATGAAGCGTGCAGCGTCGCTACTCAAAAATACTACTGCGCCCTAAGTGATGCATTAAAATAAGTATAGTTATTAAAGTATATTGATTCGTTGACTAACGTCCAGATCATCTGGTTCACCGAGCTGTTCAAATCATATCAGAATTTCAGAATGCGTAAGAAATGGCAAGGGCAGACGCACTCGACCCATTGGTGTCATAGACTTCCATTTACGCTGAGCGATAAAGAATTTCGTAAGAATTTGCGTCATGGAAGGCGACTATGGACTTACGTTGACTTCATCGTCCTGTTCTAGCACCTTACGTGTCAGACGAGTTTGCATGTAACCAGGGCTATTAACCGAACCAACATCAGTTCATATTTACTGAGTATGCGTGTTGTGAACATACCTCAGTGCATTCACTCGTACGTTCTTCCGTGCCCACTCAACAGCCAAGCTGGATGCCAATTGCTTTACGGCTAACGGAAGAAATGAGGAATCAACGCGGGAAAAATCGGTCCCATACCATACCTGCTTTCGAAGCATTATAAGGTGCTTGTGGCTATACAGACGGTTTCTTCAATTTATGATGCGCTCGCAGAATTCACTTGTCCTTGACGTACCTGAGGAACATTCACGATCTGTGAAATACGGTTAGCTATACTGCGATTGGGAGACATCTGGACTATAACGTAGTACGCACATCAGCACTCATACTCGCAATGAGTACAATTGAGCCTCCGCCATTTGGTATCATATATTTTGCGGATTCGCGGGCGGTAAAGAATGCACCATGGTAATTCACGTCAAACAGAAGCTTTGCGCGGTCCGATGGGTATCTATAGAAAGAATCATTCGGACCGAAAGACGAACAAATAAGGCATAACAAGGTTTACTCAAGAGCAGAATAATTCTCCACGATGCCTGTAATGTAAGAAGTTTGGGGTCAACACGTGTTCATTATCGACGGGCGAGGTTTTGAATTGAAAGAAGACGTAATGGGAACGGAGTTAACAAACCAAAAGGGCGAAACATATGAATAGGCTCACCTGCTGAAGCTACGACAGCATCAATCTTCTTGAAATGTGCCACTACGTTTTTGAACGTGTCTTCTACTGAACGCTCCGAAGCGACGTTGCAACCAAAACCGACGGCGTCAACGTTCTCTATGCCCCAGTGGCGTTCTGCGTGGGGAATCAATTTCGGCAGTTCAACCAGTCGACAAGATAAGCCTTACTAGAAGATTCTACCAGTTCCGCCGCTGCCTCCTGTGCTGCACGCTCTTGCATGTCAAGGACAGCCAGTGACGTGCATCCCCTGAAAAGATGAGAAAGGTAGCATGAACTCGAGAAACCAAATGAGAAAGAAACCCAAACCGAGCGCACATCTCAATGAACGCCCGACAAAACTCGTAACCAAGGCCCCTAGCCGCACCGGTGACAAGACACACCTTATTCTTCATGGAGAATCGGTCTGACAGTGCTACTTTACGCGAACTCTGAGGGCTTTCACGGTCCTTTGACTCCTTCTGCACTTGCTTGTGGGCAGGAACAGACATGCATCTTTGCTGAACGCTTGACATGCATGATCGCATCGAGAACGTAGACAGAGGGCCTCGTGCAGCGTGTAGCACACTGTATCCTGCGAGGGTGAGGCAATTGCGAGATGCAGCGATGTACATGTTGGAGGAGGTGGAGGGAAGTCAAGTTGCAAATTTCATCAGTGGACACCCGGCCCTGAAATTTGAGGACTGACGAGCTGCCGTAACGTTGTATGATGCATTATTCTCATGAACCAATAATGATATTGTCTGCACACATTTGCATGCCAAGAGTGGGGCAGGGCATTATTATTAGTTGTGGTAATATATGGGCTGATGGCCGGTCTAAAGTTGTACAAATAATGAGTGAATGAATGACGTCACTCTTTTTCATGCAGATCGCGTCATACGACGAAGAACATCACTGAGAGCTGATGCCAAGTCAGATTATTATTTCTAACAACTAATATTGTCTAGTGCCCATGTATATCGTGTCGACCCACCTCTCGATGTAAGGCACTTGCTCGGCGTCAAATTCACAATGTCTTTCTCTAGTGCTTTCTTGCGTGCAAGCATCACTTCAAAGCAAAAAATTACAATAAACTTCTTCAATAAACTACAAGTACATCTTGTTTACTACTGTGCGTAAGCAATGTTAGCCCGGTGATATTGATTTACAACTCTCCCATCTTGCGATCCTGACCGCGTTCCTTCAGTTCTGGCTTTCCTGTAACACTACCTGCTAGCTTCTCGACGTTGCCGCGCATTTTGTCGCCGAACGTGGCCTTGCCACCCTGACGCTCGCGTTGCGAGTCATCGCCGAACTGGTCATCGCGGCCTCCACCAAATTCTTGGTTGTCGGTGGACTGGTTTCCCGTGTTGTTATCGAACTGACCGCCTGACGCGGCACCCGAGGAACGAGTACCAGGAATGTTACCACCGCCAGTGGTATCATCAAAGTCATTGCGTTGGCCAAGGCCCGCGGACGAGCGTTGAGCAAAGGTAGAGCCCGCCGTGGTATCTTTGTATTGGTCGTCAGAGCCGCTGAATCCTGATTTCTCTTCTCCGCGATCATCGCCAAATGCACGTTGGGTACCCGAACCCTGCGTCTGCTGCTGGAAGTCTGGCGAGTTGTCAAAATTGGACGTGGTACGGAACTGCTGGTCATCCGATGCGCGCTGCTGGGGTGGGTTACTGCCGTAACCACCAAGGCCTGTGTTGGCAGGGTCGGTCGCGCCCGAGCCTGGTCCCTGTCCATAAGACTCAACGCCTCCGCGCGATTCACGGAATCCCTCGCCGCCGCCAGTCGTGTCAGTGTCTGTCAACTTATGATTAAAGAAGTTCAAAGAGACTCTAAGAAAAGAGTGACATACTGTTGAACGACATGTTAAATGTCAGAAATAGTTTGGAAAAGGGGTTGGAAATGTGGTTGCTATGAGTGAGGGTAAGATGAGACAGTCCGAGTGAGTATACTTATACTTATACATTCCACAGATACAGTCTGGAGCAATACGCAAGCAATGATGTCAGGTGCACCAGACGGCCCAGAGTCCCCAGTCCTGCATTCCGCTTGAGGAATACCTTAAATAGCAGTTATATTGGTACAGTGGAGTTACAGGAGTAATGATGCATAGATAGTGTTCGGGCACCACAGTGGCCGACGTCATCTCGTCATTACTATTGATAATTGAATTCAAAATCAAACTCACAGTTACAGCGGTAACCGGCTTGCATATCTAATGAGACTAGTCACTAAACGCGACTCTAGATCTTAGGGTGATAAAAGATATCATGTGACTTTCTCGACTTAGTGAAAATTCTCGTGCACAACATACACACAATTGCTGTCTTGTTGCATTTCTAACATTATGGGCACAGAGATCGTTACATAGAGCATATCAGTGCTAAGTTCGTGTCTCAAATATTTGAGGGAGAAATATATAATGCTGAGCCTTGTGATGTGAAGATGATTGTGTCAGAACTTAGAAGTAATAACACAATATAAGTTTATTCACCAAATAATTGAGTTTATTTGTAAATAATATATATAGTAGTTACAAAGAAATGAGTTTTTCATATTTTACCAAAGAGTCAAGCAAAGAGTTGTGTCTGGAATACTGTAAATCAAATTGTGCTGAAAAGGTTCATGGAGACATGACTGGGTCCACTTTCCCACAGCCTCGCAACAGACGAGAAATGAGGTTTCTTTTCTCCCACAAAAGTCGCGTGCGCGAGTCTCATTATTACTTATGCAAAGCGCTGTAACAAGCAGTCAAAATTTATCATCCTTACTTTAATGTTTATCACGTTTGGCATTTGCTGTCAGTATCGCACCCCCATGTGTACACGTAAGCTTCAAGTTAAAGCAGAATTCCTCATTTATGTTGTCGACATGCGATAGGAATTTACAAGGGTATTGTGGGTGTTACGACCTGCTATGCATTGTTATATAGGAAGGTAAGCGTCCAAGTCCGTGTGTTCCACAACGGGTTATGATATAGGTATCGTCGGAAGAGCCTATGAAGTGTTGCGGCAATCACCAGCGGTGAGCCTCACATCGCCGAATCTCGAAAAAAATGGGTATGTAAAGTTAGTTGGCTGAGGAGTAAGTATCTTTCGTAGTCGCAAGCCCAATGCGGTTATTCGTCGTATCGTACACGGAATAGAAGCGCTCCAAGAATGCGTAGCCGTTAATGAAGTCCAGGCCATTTCCAACGGATATACCGAGCTATAGTGCACAGACGTTCGTTGAGTGTATTGCTGGCACTGTCAAGTAGTATTCGACTCACGTCTCCGACAACTAGGTAAGTAGCGTTCTTTTCGCCACCGATGAACTCATTGAGGGCTCGCGGGAATGTCTGCGCGTTCTTCGTTAGCTCGAAGGTCGTGCCCCCAACTTTGAAATACAGGCTTTCGAGCCTCTCATAATCTTGGTTCTCAATCTTGAGGAGACCAGCGCCTTCGTCTACCTTTGCGCCCGTCGTATTCGTATATACGTTAAACGCTTCGGTAGCCTGCTCAGAGGTAAATATCATTAGCTATGCTGATTGCTGAATCTCCTCTTGCTTCGGAAAACCAACCAATAGGACCAGGGTGGACCCAGTGTCGACAATTCCGGAGCCTGACTTCAAGATTTCTTTCCCAGCCTTCCCATAGGTCACGCTTTGGTCAATTCCCCAGAATTTGCTGGACGGTGATGCCTTTGTAATCGGGGCGTACGTAATTTCTCCCGTGCACTTGCTGTTGTCAACTCCGCCGAACGTTAACACGCCATTTCCATTCGGCTCCGTCGTGGTAGGTGCGAAAGAAACGGCGAGGATCTCGCTGGAGATTTTTCCTTGCGCATATAGGTTGTTCATAAGGGTCGGTACCTTCGACATGTTCTGCACTGTGTTTGCAGTTGTTGCGACAGGCCCCAATCCAAGGATGCCATCGTAGCCATTAAAACCGACCGAATAATTAGCAACACCAATACTTTGCGCTTTGATGACAAGGTCGGGAGAAATTGTGACGGTGTCATTATCTGTGCGACGTTAGAGGAATTAGCACCGACGTGATACACGAACAAGGACACGCACATTCAACTCCCTCCATCTGACCAGAGCCATATGAAACAGATACGTTTTTGCCGGTGTTCACACTAGAATTCGTCGGCTCGTATTTCTTATCGGCACCTGCATTTATCCGAGGAGAATTAGCAAAAGTTCCAAAAACTAGAATTCTCGCTCTGAATTTCCTATCCATGTGTTCGAGCTTCCCGTATCTACGACGAGGGAATAGTCCGTCGCTGGCTCACCAACCCCGATACTGGCAACATAGGTGACACCCGTATTCGTTGCGCTAATTGCGCCATCGCGCCGAACTAAATTCCCAATCCCCGCAAGTTTCGATGCCGCACGAGCACGATCAAGGTCAGCGATCTTCGAGTCACCAAGTGTAAGATTGAGGCGGACAGCAAAATCGATTGAGACAAGAGCGGGCTCCCGAATTTGCACTATTGGCTTCGCGGAAGAAGACCCGCTAACCAGAGACAACGCGAGAGCAAGAAGAACCAGGTCAGGTGTATGCAACATCATGTCAGAAGGACTCAAAAGAGTGTGAGTTGTAAGGAACGACAAGCAGAGGGACAAAAGAGAATGGATGTCCTAGTGACAGGTTAGCAGGACATGAAAAAGTTGGCTCTCGTTTGTCGGGAATGCGGTATAAGTAATGGATTTAATCGACGCTCCACACTCGATTGAGGGTACCGAAGCGACTCGGAAGCTCGTTCCTTTCTCTGAGCTAAATGATCTCCCGTTGCCATCGGCAAAGGCAAGAGCGAAAATCAGTGGATTATTGATAGTGCCAAGCAACATTTGTGCCTCACGATAGCATTAACCCCGCATCACATCAAGTCTGTACAAAAGGAGACAAAACACTGCATATTGCAACGTATTTTTACTAAGTTGTGTTGGCCAACGTTCAACCTCAACTCAATCTCAGCCGTCTATGGCTCTGGTGTTGACAAGTGCTCTGCGAAAGTAATGGACCTGCACAAATGCGAAATGGATGGTGGACTGCAGGTAATCGATAGACCTGTTAGTGTGCATGTTACTGATGTGACAGAAAAGCGTCGGGCACGAAAACTAAGCAGCATAATTCAATAATAGGCGACTTCAATTAATTGGCAGAGACACTTGCAGAAGGGCTTCGGCAATTTAGAGTTAAGATGCCAAGAGTTATGCAAGTCTCTCAAAATTGAAGAGCTGGACTTGCAGAGATCGACATTTAATGCCCATGTCACGTTACTCATGATTTTTGTTGGGTTGTAGTCAGACATTTCTTTATTTCAAACTCCGACGCGTCTGCAAGTGCCAACAAGTGGGTTCGAGCACTTGCAGAAACTTGCAGAGAGTTGCACGGATTTACATCTCTATTTGGTATATATTAAGGTACGTCCACTTTGCCGAGCCACCCCAAAATTTTCCAACTGTCCTGCAAGTGCTCCTGCCAATTAATTGAAGTCACCTAATACTTGTTCGAAAAGTATTAGCACGACGGGCTTCCATGATGGAATGGTATTGAAGGATAGAAGCTCCTGTTCCGATTCCTGTTCCGATTCCCGAAGTTCCTGTGTCTCCCCATAGGTGTCACGGGCTTGGGGGAATGGTTTAAGAGTAGATGAATAATGAGAAATCCGGGCATTTCGGATTTCACGGCTCTCGTACATCCAAGTATTAAGCTTTATTGCTCTTCAAATCCAACTGGCGCTGACCGCACCATCCTCCTGCTTTCATTTACACGAAAAGCTTAGAAAGACTATGCACTGTCTCAGTCATTGTCATTGTGCTGGAAGGAACAAGTCCAGTTGCTTTCAAAGCAGCTCGGTGGGACAAGTGTTCCGTGTCCGAGTTCTCGCATCCCTTTCCACGTATTCGTGCTCTTTGAGTCTTACTTTTGTAGGTGTCGAAGACGCACAACCCGGTACGGAACCGAACAGTGCGACTGTTCGAAGGATAGCTGCGTAATCTGACTCTGCCAATATTCCGCGATCTCCGCGCGAGAAACAATCGTGCTGAGATATTGAACGGGACCTATGTGAACTGCGGTGTAGTATATAGGCAGGGAAAGTTATCTGGTTGGGTAAAATATGCAATCATGTCCAGTCCCGTTGACGATATCAATGCCATCCTAGAAAAATACATACTCCCGAGAAACGATGCGGAGCATAGAAGGTTGAGTTTGACCTTAACAATTGCTAGTAGCTAGAATCAGAAGAGCTGATCAACACTGTTCTCCAGACTTGAGATGCAGCACAACTATCTTTTGACAACAGTATACGATGGTCGCTTGATTTACGATAAAGAACTTCAGCTCAAGCCTGGCAGTAGAGTTTTGGATGCAGGAACAGGAGCCGGTATGTAGATCACTGACGCACTGTATCCATGTGTACCTGACGATTGTGTAAGGATCATGGATCCTTGCACTAGCGAAGGAGGTTCCAGACTCCGTGGAGCTAGTAGGAGTGGATGTGTCGCTGGCAATGTTTCCAGAGTCATTCCCAAGCAACGTTCACCTTGTCGAGGCTTCAACCACAAATCTCCCAGATTCTTGGACCAACTCATTTGACTTCGTCCATCAACGCTTGATGATATGTGCCTTCACAGCATCGGATTGGTCCAGAGCGATCTCCGAAATCTTCAGGGCTCTCAAACCGGGCGGCACAGCTCAGATCGTCGAAATAAGTGCTCCGTTCCCGTCAGGTGAGAACTTAAAGAAGGCCGAAAAACTGACGACGCTGTACACGGAGGCTTTGCGTTCTCGGGTCTATTTGTACAATTTGGCCGACGATATTCCTAAAATCATGGAGAAGGCCGGGTTCGTAGACATTCGTGAAGAAATCCGAGGAGCGCCCGTTGGTAATAAATGGGGAGAGATTGGTAGAATCGGTGCCGACAACTTCACCACTGCATTTAGATCGTGTAGTTCATTTGCAGTTGCAGAGGGTGGGTTTGGGCTGGTCAAGTCACCGGAAGACGTTGATGCTCTATTCGAAGCCGGGCGTAAAGAACTGGACAAAGTTGAAGGTGTGTGTTATAACTTTGCCGTCATCTTGGCAAGGAAGCCATTGTGAGGAAGAACTACGTAGAAACCTACTTAAGCTTTTGAAGAAATGACATGTGACTGAAGTAAATAAATTTTTGTACGAGTCGTAATAACCAACATCGTGTATCCATCCATAGCAAAAAAGTAACAGTATCCACACGCCAAGGCGATAATCTAAAGCAAGAGTATTCACCATGTCTACACGGCCGTGCCTACCGATTGTTTAACTCTAAGCGGTCTACGTTTCCGATCCTCTAGGGAATCTTCTTCCGCCTCAGTAGCTGGGCCAGGACTGAGAGTCTCATCAACCTTCAGGTTACGGTTTTGCTAGAAAACACAAGACGTGAATACATGAAATCTTTGATAAAGGGCTGACTTACATCGTCGCTGAGTTGCACCGTCCGGATAACATGGATGCCTGACATCGCAAAAGTCTCTTCATGATTCCTGCGGAACGGCGGAACCCCACCAGACGAAACACTTGGATTATGCTCGTCGCTGGACTGACCGACGCCGTGCAATCGTCGCCTAGCATTTAAATTGGATAGCATGGTGATCGCATACATAGGGCCCAGTGTCCAAACTACTCCAGTGGCCCAGTTCGCCTCATTGTCTGCAAGGAACAGGAACAGAGTAGTAAGAGCGATGGTCGATGTCATGGAACCCGATCTAATAGTCAGAGCCGTAAGACGTCGCAAGAGCGAGCGTGTATTGTCGAAGAATGATTTCATGCGACGGAATTGCCAGATAAGCACGATAGAAATAAACACATCTGTTGCTGCACTAGCAACGAACCAAACTCTGTACGTGAAAAATAAGGCTAAACATCAACACGGGAATGTAGCATTAAGACTCACGTCACTGTTGTTGTAAGCATGTTACGATCTGCGAGTGAATTGTGCGTTGTTATTATCACCGCAACAGCCACAGAGCCACCAAGCTGTTTGAAGTGACGCGCATTTGAGTCAAGTTCAATATAGATGGTGGCGAAGACGTACAGATGCCAGCGAACAGAGTTCAAGGAGCCCTGTAATTATATAATTGCTAGACCTATGTGCAGTTTGAATTACTAGTTGTGATAATCAACGATGAAACATACAGTCGCAGGAACCGCCATCCTAAGAACGTTTGAACGAGAAACCCGCTTAATGACGTTGAAATGATATAATTCGGGACTGGCCAGTACTGTGCTGACAGGAACACTTGATTACCTGTACAAATGAGACCGGTCAATGGATGTAATGGACAGCTAGGGGTAACTAGCTTACCCCAGTGTGTAACGCAGTACTGAGCTATATGTGAGTTGCAAAAACAAGCATGGTGATTATACTATGGACGTACCAAATAGACGTTTGCATAGCACACGATCGTACACCAGACGTTAAACAAGATGACTAATGCTACAGCCGCACGCAGCTGTATAGGATCCCGAGGGTAATTTTGGAAATAATTCAATGCCTGCATGAATGCTACCGAAAGGAGCAGACTGTTGGCCCAAGTCCCCGCAAGCATGCCACTGACAGGTCGAAGTGAATGGTGTGGTAAGTAAGCAATTGGCGAATGCAAGACCAACTGCCAACTCACCCAAGAACATTGTCAATAGGACCGACCCCCATGGCGCAGTGAGGACCGAATGTAAGAGGGAGTAGCGGCCATGTCGACGAATCGCGCTCATATATATATTTCACCTAGAATTATACCCGTGAACCCTTATGTACGTACAAGCAAAAAATGGACGCCTCGAACGTCGAACCCTTTATTCCCCTTTTCTGGTGAACCTGGAGGGAATCAATTCATGTCAAAACAAGCGCACTACACCGAATTTAGATCCGTGATGGCAGATCTAGCCTATGTAGCAACGCAACGAATCATGTCCGTGCCGCCGCGCCCTGCGAATTTCATTTCTCTTTTTGCGCCCCAGAACAGCTCCAGATATTACTATAAGTCGAGCTCATCATTTCTCAAGTGAAAGGCCGAATATTCGATTGCACAACTGACTTGAACTGAAAGTAAGTCTCTTGCTGAAAACTTGGCTACCACCGATTATTGTGTTTAGGAAGTCGATCAGAAAGGGAGGGAGGATAAGCTGTGAAAAATATACTTCCGAGTCGGCCCTGGCGGTTCCCATTTTACCGAATCGATTGTTACATAATCAGGAGCTCAATATAATATTACACGAAGCCTCGAACCTGAGTAGGTAATCTATCGCTTATCTGTGTCCCTCACTCATTCAAATGGACCACTCACTACGTTGCTTGACGAACGGATATTCGTTCGTGGCCACCTTGAAGTATTCAACTCTGCCTGGACGACACTGGAGACAGTGTAAGCGTAGGAGTCTGTCACTAAGCCTCGGTGAGTCGATCTAGATGCAAACTTTGCCTCGTGAACCTTCTTAATTGCACGTCGCTACCCCCCAAGCACATATACTACGGGTTTAAGAGACTGCAGTCTTTGAGAATCCTGTGTGGCGGCATTTCTTCTCGACGCTGGCGTCAAGTCTTAACTTCTAAATTGTAGTTCATGGCTGACATCAGAGCAACACGAAGGCAATCACGAATTCACGTCGTTTGAATTCTTGCTTCCAGTAGTCAAATGTTCACGCTTCTCAGGATAGATAATCTTCCATTGTGGATTTCTCCACTTCTCTAGCCTTGCTGCTTTCGCCCGAAAGTCTCCGCCATGAGAAAACAGGACGCTCGCTTCACTCGATGCACGTGTCGCGCCTTAACAGAGTTTCGTCTACTAGCACTTCTGGAAAAACCTGGACAAGCGCTCTTCACCCAGGAAATCTCGCTTTCATATTCCATGAATTGCAAGCCTTGCAATCCTATGTCCATAACATGTGCTTTGGAAAAGAGAAAAACAGGGGAAATATGTTGGAGACGAAATGAACACCCTGACGACGCTTCTGCAATTGATTATGCCGTAACATCTACTCAAGCGATGACTCTTCCATATTATTTTGACATGACGCATATTGCTCTAAGCTATCTCCAGTATCAGGGCACAATTCAGCGTTGATTTAAGTTGCTCTCACATGATGCTTGGAGAGTACAGACTTCCTTGGTAGGAATACTGCACGAAATAAAGGGAGGTCATCAGGACCTGAATCTCGACTTCGGGTGCTAATCAATAGACGTGTATCTACGATGTCCCTCTCAACGACGCCATCGTCTGTGAGCTCCATAACCGCTCATGATAGTTTTCGAAACATACTGCAGGATTTGTTGGTGCACGTAGGTGATCACTTCAATAACAAAAGAGCCTTACGCAGAGTCAGCAACGATAGCAATTGTATACAAGTAAGGTATGGACTTTCCATACAAGCATTTTATCGAAATAATTCTAGCCAGGACTATATATCAACAGTTCACGTTTAAGCGTAACGAATGTTGATAACCCTGGTCTTGTCTGCTTTACCTCTGAGGGCAGTCAGAATAGGGGGGCTTAATATTTTTCACATTTGGCGCATCAAACCGCCAAATCTGATGGCAGAATGGCGCACAAGCGGCAATATTCATCGTCTTTGGTGCGCCACTGCTTCCGGTATTCAAGCTAGCAAGTGGCGAATATTTTGACGACACCCTGATACTCACATGGGTATCAGAGTCCGTCGCAACTTCTCATGCAACGTCTGCGTGGACAGATGCCTTCGGCTGATTACGATACGCTTCTGATCATGCATTTACAATTCCAGGGGCGGTGAGTTTGCCGGAAGTCGACATTTGGACTTCCAGACGTTAACCTTAGCTTTGCTCGACTGTCTCTCAGCGCTGTCTGTTAGCACACCCTTGAGGGCACAATTTGAACGACTGCTCTAGTTCCAGATGTGGTTCGTGCGTCCCCCAATGAGCTTTAACTTTTCGGACGTCGATTACTGTATACGTTGGATCGTATTCATACCGGTATCAAGAACCCATGCAGCCGTTCTTCGATGTCGTGAATGAGCCATCGTGCCAACTTGACCTTGAGAGTAAGGCGGTAGGTACGGCGGTAACCTGCATGCTTAGATCGGAATTTCCATTGACCAAATTTCCATTATAACAAAATAATAAAGGTCTCTTCAAACCATTTGTGACTCTGTTGTATCTTTCTTCATTGTCCCGCCCATCGTATCGCTATTGGTTCAGCCGTACAGCAGAGGTCGACGAATATAATGGTCTACCTTCTCTCGTATCGATATCCCGTAAGACAGAAGGCTCCGGCCTAAGTTGCACATTCACCTCGAGCATTATCTCTGCGTCTTTCAAGTGACTAACCATCTGCGATGCCGATGGTCGTGCTTCTGGCCTTTCATCCCAACACTGCTCAATAGCCCGCCACAAGGGATCTGGGACGTCGACGCCATCCGGTGCTGGTCGCCGGGGCAAATTGCGATCGTGTATATGCATGACTACTGCAGCATCGAACCTTCCAATTGCATCTGCAAATGGAACCCGCCCAGTCAACACCTCAACGATGGTCATCCCAAACGACCACATGTCACTATGTGTGGACGCCTTCGTAACGTTTGAGCCGGAGTCGAACATATTCCAATCCGCTTGTGAACGTGGTTTCGGTTGATGCCCATCCTTTGTCTCAAATAATAATTCTGGTGCCGTCCATCGAATATTTCCGTGTTGTAATCTTGAAGAAAGATCGGCGAATGCTTCACTATTTATTCGAGAAATACCGAAATCAGACAGGACCGCATTCCCAAGGTCGTTGACAAGGATGTTTGCCTGATTGGATATTAGACGAGCAGTCCAGCAAGAGTAGTAACAAGCTAAATTGCTCACCCCTCGCACGTCCTCATGCACTACTTGTGGATCGTGATTGTGTAAGTAATCAAGAGCAGATGCAACCTGTCCGAGCTATTCCACGAGCGTAAGAACTCTATGTGTTGCGTACAAAGATTGGTACCAGACCAGCTTTAATTTGACAGATAAATAGCCACTTCGATCACTGCAGTATTCGATCACCGTACCCCTCTCCATCCATGGGGAAGCTATGCACGGGAACCTGCCTCGGAACTTGCAAGTGCCTATGAATGGAAGAATATTTGCGTGCCGAAGACAGCTCCATAATATTACCTCCCGAAAGATACTCTGAACATGTAAGTTAGTTTGATTGTTTTGAAGGACGAGACAAAAAAAGTTAATTATGATCTTATCAGTGTACTTTCCTTCTGTTTCTCTTGAATCTCTTCCTTAGGTACCTTGATTGCAATGAGAGCGTCATCCGATCTCCTTCTGGTTTTAAAAATATATCCAAAACCGCCTTTTGCAACATATGACACCGAGTTTGGGAGATATTGTACATCACTATCAATGCGCATTGAGGGCGGTAAATTTCCAATCCGAATTGCGAGCTCCATCATTCGCACAAGGCATAAGCTACGGATGTCGGGTAGTTCGGTAGTAACTCCGGTGTTGTTTATCGCCTGGTGTAAATAATATTCTGCAATCAGATATGGAGTCGTACAGGCAATAGAGCACACTGACGTTGTGCAATAAATCTAGAATCGGTCTCACCACCTTTTCCCTCTTCAGAATGCTCATGGAAGATTCTGGATGATCTACGTTGAGACTTAGATCGTTCCTAAGTTCGTCAAGCAGCGAATCATTAAAGTCTGAACGGCCATTCTGGCAAATCTGCGTGAGACCAAGCTTTGTCTTGCTAAGAGCATATAACGAGCTGGTAAAGTTAGGGATCTGAGCAACCGTGGTCGACATGGTGCAAGCTCATACACGCAGAGAGCGACGCATGATCTCAAGACATAGGGAAGCTCATTTCCCAGGCACTGCCTTTTTGATTAACCGTCAAAGCCAACACCCCTAACATCAACAACGACGGAACCACGCTCTCTTCCTACTTTTAGTGTCTTGCTCTCTGTGCGCACACCGTGGCCGTGGATAACACGAGTGGCAGATGATCACTTCTCAGACCGACGGAGATCCCGATCCCGATCCGTCGCTGCCTCTTCCCAATGACGATGGTGTCTGCGGTTCTCTTGATCCACCCTCGCCTTCACAGAAGTCTTCCAAGCCCGGATGGCGCTATTTCCAATGCACAAATATCCGGGACGAACTTCGCGTCTTATTACCTCCGCGTCCTGCCGCAATCTATGCAAACCTGCTCAAAGTCGAGGCTTGCGCCTTGGCGAAGAACGATGCTGACTCTCTGCGCGAGGTTCAACATATCCGTTATCTTAAAGAGGCTATGGTTAAACGATGCCGGAAGCTAACACAAGATGCGATAGGGCATCGCAGTATTCAGAACATATCAGTGGTTGAGGCACCGCTCGACTTTAAGCTTAAGCGGCTTGAGCAATGGTGGACGTCGATTGAAGCCCGACGAAAAACACAGAATTGCTCCAAGAGCAGTCAAGAACGTGAGGAACGATCAAGCATAATGCAGGCCAGCATGTCTGCGGTTACGACCTCTTCCAGCAGTGATAGTGAATATAGCGCTAAGCTGTCTCTTTCAAGTGCAGGTCATGGGAGCAGTGAGCAACGGTGTGTACTTTCTTCATCTGAATGATACTGGAGTTTAGTGTTTATTATTTGTAAAGCGGCCGCAGTCCGCGTCAGTGGAGGCCGAAGGGAAAGCTAACAAAACTCCAGACTATATCTGCTGTCACCAACAATAGTATCAAAAAAGTATGTATTTACACAAACTGCATACTTTAAATCTAATCGACTCTGGACAGAAACCTTCTGTCTCGCTTTCTATACAATCTGCCGAAGCAACAATATCTTCGAACAACGACAGTGGTTGGGAAAGCGCTAGTGAAGCGTCGCTGAAATCTGTGCTCAAATTGGGAACCCCAAAACCACTCCCAAAAGTACATGAGGAGGAGGAGGAACGATCAAGAACACCTGACTTATCCACTTCTACGTTGTCCAATTCCAGAATGGTCAGGATGGATCGAGTATGCCCATATTCAATTTTTACCTGTGGACCGTAAAGAATAACCTTATACAATTGCTTATTACGTTAGGGCTTCTATGAGGGATTTGTAGGAACATCGTTGCGCAATATTCCTCTCTTCGAAATGCATCACTGTGTATCCATAACTATCCACGCTGACTTGGACGACGATGTCACTTTGGAGATCGAGGGTGATCCGGAACATCTTAAGGGCGCCTTACTTGAAATCGAGCTGGTAGCTTATAGTTTCGCTCCTGTAGGTTTGATGCGGACTTTTGATCTGTTGTGTTTTCCAGCTGCACAGATACCGAGCCAAATTCGGTTCGACTCTCTTCCACCCCCAGCCAGATGAAGAGGATCTAGGACGTCGGCCGCTTCCGATTCCTAATCGGACAAGACGCGAGTCATCTTTGAGCTCTCCAACTACACCACTGCATAGTGCTACGCCAAAGAGTATGTCAACTCCGTCTTCTTTGAGAAGCGCAAGAAGCGTAAGAGTCCCATAACTAGGCAGTACTGTTTGCAAATTCTTTCCTCGTCGACTACTCTGGCAATGTATTTTATATTCAAAGTCGTGTATAACATCTCCGTCGTCTTCCGCCGTACTGTTTGTTTACTGTAACAATGGTGTAATGTACCCATAGTTGTTGTTCAAGTCGGATCTGATCAATCTCAGAATTAATTAGATACTGTACACTGATTGAATCTCTGGCTAGTCAGATAATATGGCAGTAATTGCTATGACTCCTCACTATTCGGGCCTGACTGCTCCGCCTCTTTCGCAGTCCGATTTACTCGGCATATCTTCCATATTCTTTGCCTCTAACTTTACTATATATTTATTGACGCCATATTTCTTTTTTCTCCAACAACCACTCGCAATGCGTCTTCATATCACATTTGTTCTCTCCAGTCTTGCTGTCTCGTCTGTCTCTGCTCTGCACGTCAAGAGGCAGACCCAGAGCATTGTCCCTGGTGTGTACCTAACGTTCCTTCTGCTCCAACGGGTATTATTAGACTAACATGTATTTATGTCTGCGATAGACTGCGCTGCATCATGCCTGTCCAACAACGCTCCAGACTGCTCTCCGTTGAACCTTGGTAGCATCTGCAGCAGCTATTCATCAATTAACGACTGCATTCAACAGAGTTGCAGCGATAGCATTTTAACCAGCGCAACAACGTTTTTTGGTAACCTAATGAATCTGCTGTGCGGAAGCACCGGCTCAACAAATCCATATGGAGGGTCGGGGTATTAATTAATGCTTACTTGGAGTGTATGTCCTGATGTGCTTTGACAATGGCGGTAAGCTTATTCATTTTTTTACTTCACTTTTCCAGCATCAGACGGTGTTATTCGCACCAAATGTGATACTACGACTGGGTGACCTCGTAAGAAAACGCGTCATACTGCATGATTCCCGATAGTCTGAGGCAGAGAAAGTAGTTGTAAAAAGTGTTTGTATATTGATGTTAAAAGAAGTTCGATTGGTTTTCTTAAACTATTATTGGCGGCCTCAAGAGCAGAACACGGAAAAGTAGTCAACAGCATGCAACTATTTATTCTATTTACACAGGTACACTACAAATTCATACAAGCTGATCTCCGATGTTGCATGAAATAGCTTGCCTGACATGCAAGCACTTACTCTTCATAAGACGTGCTTTACTGAGAAGTCTCTTTGGCGTTCAAACATCTGTAATGAAATTCACAGTACACATAATATATATATATTAATTGTGACACTTAATGGAGCACGAATTACGATTCCGATGAAGCATATACCTGGCTCGTGCTAGCTTCCGGTATCTCCTGTACTGATAATTGGTATATAGTAGCCGTCCCAACCGTCTGAGACCAAGTCGTTTGGCGTTTACTGATGACGCCCCGGACGTTCAGCAGTATGCGCGATCCGGTAATGGACATCGTCGACCGAAGAACTTGGAGCATAGAGGCCAGTAGTCCATGTCGCTTTGCCGGAAGCGCTGAATAAATTACGAGATTGGAAATGCTTGCCACTGGACACAGTGAATCGCAAATGGTCAAATTGGTATGAAAGGGAGAGACAGGGAACGAATGCACCTAGCATGACCACATAATAAGCAAATCCTGAAATAGCTGCTTTAGTGAGTGAAGTTAAGGAGGTTGAAAGAAGGATAATTACCATCCCTTAGGAGTAACGCAATGAGTTGATTATGTCCAAATCGACCTGGATCAACGTTAATCGATGATCGGAGTTAAATGACAATCAAGTACTCGCTCTTCTGAATTACTTTTATTGAAGTCAAGACGAAAATAATCGTATCAAAGCACATTAGCGCTACCCAAGCTGGGATTGTAATATTTGTGTCAATAGAGGCAACGCCGGCCTGGCAGCCGAGAACCGCTTTTACTCTATAGAGATTAATTTAACAGAACAAATGGAAAACGTTGAGCGCCTACTGAGGGGTTGATTTGTCTAGAGACAACCAAATGAGGTAAGTAAGCTTATGGGTTGAGGAAGTATTAGACACTTACAGACGAGAGATTTCGAGACGAATGCAATGCAGATCGCCATAGTCACGTCTGTTGCCTGGAACCATTAAGTTAATTGTAATGAAGAGAGAAATGGGACTTACAATGAAGGCGATACTCAGGAATATGATGATGATTCGTTTATTATCCCACACCGCAACAGTACGCAGAAAGACGATCACTGATAGAGTTAGCTTAGCGTCAGGCTTCAAATAGCGTAAATCTTACATTGCACGGGAATAATGAAGACGAATGTAGACCAACTATCCACATATAATGCAGCAGAACAGAACTTCCAGGTATTGCTTATATGAGAGTCGGAGACAGTGGCATTGATCAGAGTGACTCACAGCTGGATTTGCAGAGAAATCTAACGTGTCTTCACCTCAATCAGCGCTTATTTCATCAAGAGATTTTAGAAGAGACATACTTGTAAGATATACTGCGCCTTCCAGCCAAGAAGGGTATCTGGCAGCAAAGTATAGAATTTTCCCTGAGGACCATTTGGCTTTCCAGATGAGCGAGATCTAATACTCTTATTTGAGCAGTGAGATACGCGCATAACGAGGATTCAACAATACCTCCCTAAAATTTATAAGCATTAGCCTTGATGAATTGCATAGGCTACAGATGAACGTACTCCTCCAAAGTAATCAAAATATCCCAAGTCAATGTGATGAAAGAAGCCACTGAAGTACAACACATGGTGACTGTCAGGATCAAACACTGACAACTGCCAGTGATTATGATTTGCACAGACCTGTCAAATACTAAATGCATCCAGTAAGTCAATAAGCAATTTAACATGACAGAATAACAACTTCGTACTCTTGACGTTTGTAAATCATACGCGGCCTGCCGTAAAAGTTGGATTTCTTTGACTATGTTGGACATCGCTAGCGCGGCAAGAAGGGCGGTTCGGTGGATAGTTTATGCGCTACGACTTATAGGGCAGATATACAGAGATGCCTAGGCCTCAATTGAGGCGGCTCGATGATCATTAGGCTTCTCGGTAACCCGCATCAAGTCAAATGAGACGGAGGAGTGGCCCATTGCGCGGATCGCGGTATCAACTCGGTCCAAGGCACTTCTCACAACTTCATCGAGGGACGAACATGGACATTGTACGATCTATACGGGGTATGTGTCGGAAATTCCACCATTACTCATTAATGATTACAACCGAAGAAAGTGAAACAGCAACATATCGTAGTCTGAATCTAATTGTCGCCAAAAAAAGTAGCCAATATGAAGTCCAAGATTGTAGTAGTAGTAGTACAAATGCAGTTTGTCTGTCGCAAAACGGAAATCGGTTGAAACCCCCTTGTTTCATCAAGCAGCCGGGATCTATGGAACATGGGATGCCAGGATGGTTCGAGCGTGAGGACTTTTTAGTCATCTATACCAATAAGCCTTAAGGATTGGTGTCAATGCAAAATGGCAGCGGCTGATCGCTCTCATCCAATATTCCATAATAGCCACCGGGCAAAGAGAATTCATAGACCAGAGCTCGCTTGAGTCGAACAAGGTGTACAATGGCCTTTACTATCTAGATCGAAGGCATGGCGGTCAGAAAGACCGCTCAAACGACTGACCGCAACTCCACATCAGAAATTAAAGGCACGTGATCTTGATATACCAAACTCCAAAGTCCAGAGAGACCAGACATTGCCACTGACTGCACAATTTGTTTGTAATAATTGGCATCTATGATTTTGTATATACATATGTGTTCACGTAAAAAAATGAGTGTATTTGAGATGAGGCAAGGTGCAGTTGGTGTAATTAGTAATCGGCAATCAGCAACCTGTCTTTTAAATACTCTTTATCACTTCCAACTCCTGCTTCCAAGCAAAAGAAAAAGAGACAAAAATGTTCTTCTTGGCAGAGACACTCGACCCAAATGAACAAACGAAGGTGGAAGCAAAAATCAAGGAATGATCGACCAAATCTTGAGAAGTTTTTCGAAGTTAGGTGTGCCAAGGCCCGTTACCGGATCCCAACCCTGTGTTGCTGTGAACCCATCCGTGCCTGTCGATATGACGGATGCATTAGTGCACAATAGAATGCGAGGAAAATCCGTTAACAAGGAACACGGTAGTAGTTGAGAAAGAAAGAGCGACGAGTAATGGATGCCATGCGCCAAGGGGTGTGTGCGAAGATAAAGGGCACCAAGGTAGTGTGAAACGCTCGACGACACAAGAAGGCCCACGACGAAGCTCACATAGATAACGTTGCATTTCACGAAGAAACAAATACCGAGGAAGAAGAGAAGGAGAAAGGGAGAACACGCACCACATCCCTGATTCCCACCCGTCGTAATATCATTAAACGCTCCTCTAAACGTATCGCTGTAAATCGCAGGGTTGATGAAACCTATCATCACAACTCAGTCAGCATCACGGAAGCCAGAAGAAGAAAGGTGCAAGAAAGAAAGGCAGAGGAAAGGATGAAGAGGAGACGAGACGCACCGACAGGCTTCTTCCCCATTGCGATTCGTGCGTCGTTGATGAGTGTGATGATGGACGCTACTGTCGGTGCTGCAGCGGAGGTTCCAAAGACGAGGTTGAATTCTAGAGGACATTAATAGGCTAAATACAGCCAGGGAAAGAAACGTGAGGAAGGCGTACCTCCATCAACTATCCACCACGACGTACAACACAAAATCAGCAAACAAACCACACTGAAAACCATTCCCAGAGAGAAAACGCACTAGCAATAACATAATTCGCCCCATTAGCACTCAAATCCGGAAAAGCCCTACTACTCCCACTATTATTAAACTGGTCCGCACTAAACGGCGGTGGGTGGTCCTTCAAGAACCCCTCCACGGCAGCTTGTTGGTAAGAGGGTATGGAGAAGATGTTAGAGAAGCCTCCGCCGGAGAAGATGACTTGTTCGCAGGCTTGTTCGGGGTCGTTAACTGTGCCGTTTGGGTTTACTTGGGTTGCGCCGACTCTGAATGGGAGGGAGGGGATGGTTAGTGGGGAAAGGGTATTGATGGAGAGAGAAGTGGAGGGATGGGAGGAAGGACGTACGAAGTGACGAATGGACAGCCGCTTGGGAATGACTTCGGGCACTTAGTTAGTCTTGTACCATGAATGACCGTACATCGGTGAACGTACAGGGTTGAAGCGCGTCCCATTAGCAGTCTCGTTCCCTACACCGACTTCAGCGCAACTCAAACAAAAATCATGAGACAGAAATACACACCATCCGCATCAATACACACTCCTCCAAAGCCCGCAACACCAAAGTCGCCCGAACTATACAACACCGTCGTCTATCACACCACGTCATTCAGACGGTAAAGGGAGAGGAGAATACGAAGAGGACTAACACCCATGAGTCCGATCTTTCCGTACTCGGTACATTGCCGCATCGCAGATCGTGCCGAGATGGTGATCTCATCTTGGCCGTAGGAGACGGACACGACGTTCGGAGGCTAATTCCGAGTGAGTCAACACGTTCAGAGTCGGTAGACGTATTATGTTGTGCAAACCTTGATGATACCACAACTCTCCGATTCTATCTCCTCGTCAGCCCAAAACGTGGCGTGAGAGTGTTGAAGAAAGAGAACGTACCGTTGAATCCGCCAGGCAGTGGGTCAGGATAGATCCCGTCCTAACGGATCAAGGGAGTGGGGGAGATTAACATTCAACGATTAACCTTTACTCCGGTCATGCACACAGACTTACCTGATCTGGGTCATCGCCACCTGTCATCACGGTGTTCGTAAGATTTTCAAGGTTTTGAGATCTAAGATTAAAGATCAAGCCACGCACCTTCAAACGTGCAAAACGAAGCATCAACCGCATCTAACCAATTATCAAACCCAGCACCTTCGACGAGGTCGCCCGTCTGGAGAAGTAACACCGGCTGAGGGTTCGTCAACACCATCGCATATTCCAAATCCAGGTCACTCTCTCCGTTAAAGTCGAAACTCTGATTCGTCGTCTGTGCGACACCACCGTCGATGCTCACGAGCTGAGGTTTCTGACCGATTTGCGTCGCAGAGAAGTTATGGAAGAACATGTCTAGATCGCCTTGTAAGAATGCTTGAGGGGTGAACTCGACGACGCCGAATGTGTTTTTTTCGGTTGCCATGGGTTTGTAATTCGCAAAGTTGTAAAGCGTTTGAAGGCAGATGGGTGTGATGAATTGGTTGCAGTCTGCAAGGGTAAGGTTAGTCGAGCCGTCGACTTTACGTCCGTTCGTCTTGGGACCGTTGAACGAGGATGGACTACCAAGTCGGACGGGTGGCTTCGTCACCTCTGCAGCGCGTCGCGCGAGGTTGTCTTTTGATACCGGTGCAGGCGGGATACGCGCGTTGAACCCTGTCGTAGGCTTGATGAGGTCAATGTGTGGGACGAGGTGCTCGGGGACGTGGTACGCTTCGCATCCGACGCGCTCTGTACCGTCTGCATCCTCGAATACGTGATACTCTGCGTGCAACAGGTTCTCGACCTCCACCACGCTCGCATGCACCTCAATCCATCCCTTGCTTTTGCTCAACTTCAACCTATCCCTATCCACGCCGCTCGAGGTAAGCCAATCCGTGACAGCATTGATCGTCTCAGCAGGCGGAGCGAAGTGCTCGACGACTTGCCCCGCAGACCAGTGGTTGCCGTACTCGGGAGAGTCTGGATGGGAGACGGTATTGAGAAGCGACTCGAGGGTGTGCGTGTTCTGGTGCGTGAGACCAATGCGGAGAGGGATGACTGCATCTTGTTCAAGACGGCGTGCGAAGCGCCAACCGCGATTTTCCGGGACGAAAGTGCGTCGCTCGTGCAGGACAGGCGGGGACAGCTGGGGAGCACCGAGCACCAGCTCGGCACTAGCAGCGAAGACGGCGACGACGAAAGAGGCTAATCGGACCATGGGACAAGAGGGCAGCAGCAGCAGCAGCAGTGAGTACTGTAGTACCCTTTACGCCCGCACACGACTACTTAAGAGATGCGGCTAGGACGAGAATAGGCCAGCGAATCGCACTGTCGCAGGCAACAGCGCTTCTTCAACAACAAGACGACATGGACGTTTTTCGGATGCACATGGCACTTGTTTCTCCCGAGATGTCCGCTAGCAGTATTGGCATGGGCAGCGATCAGCCTCCGCGTGGACCCATCCCTCCAGTCGGGCAATCCGCGTGCTATTCCTGCTCTCAGTGAGAAAAATGAACGACCACGCACAAGAAACGAGAGCCGGGTTATCACCTCATCGCGCGTCATTAGAGCTTCGATGGCTTCGCTGCATTGGCAACGCTAATCGCCGAGAAGCACATCATGATAGCATTCTTAGAAGTCAACTTGCTATTCTCAGATGCAGTTTATCTTTGGTTGGGTTTAGCGCTCGTGTGACACCACACACAGACACCGTCACGTGCATTCATTTCTTAAGCGGGCGGGTCACTTCGACGGACGAATTGCTCAACGCGTCCATCCTCTGACGTCGCACAATGCCTGTCTTTCCGCCCATTGTATCATCTCCAAAGTGAGCTAGGTCCTCATCAATCATGCATATTCCAAATGCACTGCACGATCCCTTTGGCGACGTGCAGCCGCCTAAACAGCGATTGCTGGACAACATGACAGAAAACACTTTGTTGCCTTGTCCACCAACATAGTTATATACGAACCTTCTAAGTTTGCAATGGCCAGTACACGAATGACAAAGGCAAGATATTCAATCCAAGCCCTTAAAGAACAGGACACACACCAAGTGCTAGAGTTATTAGTGTTACTATACTGTAAGCCTTTTCTTTGGTGCTAGCAACACCTGGTAACAGTGATAGCATAATTAGAAATCAGTTTACTATTTTTTAGGAGCAGTTATCTTTGCTTGAGTGACATCACAATCACATAATGCTATCACATACATGTACACAAACTCAATAGTAATCAAACAGAATGTAGTACTTCTGTCCCTCTTAAATACAGATTTCATCATTTTAATACTTGTTCATGTATTTGGTCCACATATCAGATACTTGTATTCTTATTCTATTATATCACACTGACTAACAAGTAATGTACAAGAAGATCAAACACTATTCTTTGAAAATATTCAGGTGTTTGGCTTTTAAGTAGGAATGTTTACTAACAAGACTCTATCTGTATAGTTGTACAAGTAACCTGTCATTGTCTAGTCTAGAGAAATTACATTAAACAAGTGGCAAAAATATTAATGAGAGAATAATGATACTTACAGATGCTTACAGAGTAGTCTAGTGAAATCTTCATGTACTTAAGCATTTCCTATACATTTAAATTTATTAGAAGCTAACTCAAATAAAGTAGAAAGACTACTTTTACAGTATCTTTCTTACTATACTGAAACGATCAGCATCACACTAAGAACTGTACATCACATGCAGACAATCACAGTGATCAATTCTGAACACCCACATGACTCATAGAAGCCTACTCTGAGAACACCCAACTATTCCACATTGTAAGCATTTGCAAACAGAACTGTAAGAGTGTGCAGTTTCAGAATTGGCTTACACACATTGTTTTCTCCATGGGATGTACGGATCACGTGCTTATCACAGGCTCAGAACACAAGTTGCATCACAGTGAGTGGCTCAGCAAACCATTACATCATCATTGCCCAGATCAAAGTACTGTGATCTTCTAATCAGATAGGACATCAGGGTGATCAAAGTGTTGATCTCAGGAGACTGCTGGAAATCTCAGAACTCTCTGCACTTTGTCTGTACCAATCAGATGATAATGGCATGAGAACCTTCTATTTCTTTCAATGTAAATCTTGCTTTTCCCTTTTGCATAACATTTCCTGTGGCTAGAATGCAGACTACTTAAATTTTCCTCATGCATTTTCACCCTATTTTCTTCCAACCTCTGGCAAAAGGTTCTCTTATTTGTTCTTGTATATTTTGTTATTTTTCTTTTGTTCAGTCATGACACTTCCCTGTTAGTACTACACTTTTCCAGAACTCAGAAAACTATAAATACAGCTACTCATGTACTAGATATGGGGGGAAATTCAGATAGTTCACCCATCAATTTAGCTCTTGTCTCTTGTCTCAAAGTCCTCTAGTGTGAGGCATAGTTTTAGTCTTCATCATTTTCTGTATCAGATTGTTTGTTGTGCACTTTGTAAAGTGCACTTTCTATTATTCACATCACTCTTCCAAGGTTGCAACTGTGCTGAAAGAACTCACACCTGTTCAGAACCACTCTAGTCTCCTATGACTTGTGGTTTAGCTCCCCCTCAAACTTAACAAATCACCTGTGATCTTCTCTTAAACACTTCACAGGAGTTTCATCTGGAGCCTACTGTGAGGGGGGTTTCCATAGTTAAACAACATGAGTTCCAACAGTTCTTAGCATCCTGAACAGGTTTCTCAGACACCAGCCTGTGGGCTTAGGTCAACTCAGTCACAGTCAGCACCAGTACCTGTATTGAGCAGAACACACTGATCTACTAGAATCCAATTGTGCTGCAAAATGTCTGATAGTCCAAACACTGGAAGTACAGAATCTGATATTACAGAAACCTTAGGAACACCATCAGAACAGCAGAGTGCTCGAGTCAGTAACAAAGAGGAGGAAGAAGAAGACCTTGTAGCAACATCACTCAATCCCCAAGTAATTGATTTCCGAATTTGCAACAAACTGCTGCATTTCATGTCCCTGGAATTGTATACAGGATTGTTAGCTACCCTACAACCTTCCCAAATCACATCAACATTACAACTGACTGTAACTGGCACACTGTATCACAGAAGAGCACAGTTGTCTCTACAGGAAACAGAGACAGTCCAGCAGCCAGTATCTTCACTCACACTAGCAACCAGTGTATTGTTAGCAACACAGCTCCAATTACAGCAACAGTAACTTGCAAGTGATGTGCAACTACTTCAGCAACTACAAGTAAACATGCAAATTCTATTACAACCAAGACTGGCAGTGCAGCCAATGGCCACATTGAACATTCTGAAGCTGCCTTGTCACAGAGCACATGATGCACTGTCCTTTGACAGAACCAAGCCCTGAGAATTGTGGAGGTATTTCACAGACATGGAAAGTCTTACAAACAAATACAACATAGCTGGAGCAGATATCATTCTGCTTACAATGAAGTATGTGCCTGTAGAAGTAGAGGATTTGTAGGATAATGTAGATAAAACGTCTTAGGATACATTTAAGACAGGAGTAATTGTGTATTACCTGAGTCTCAAGACAGGAGCACAATATGTCAGAAGTGACTTGGATGCTGTAGTACAGAAATGGGCAGAGAGAGGAATTACAAATAGGGATGATTTGGGAACATACCACTGAGAGTTTACACTCATAGCAACCTATTTGACAACTAACAATAAGCTGTCACCAGAGGAATCTTACTGTGTTTTTCTGTGTGTGTTCTGTAGAGTAATCATGGAAAAACTGATGCAGAAGTTAGAAATCAAGTATCCAGACTATGAGGACAGACTTGTGTACAATATTGTGCAAGTTGTAGCTACAGTAGGGTCAATCCTTGGGGGATCTACACTCACAGTAGTTAGTGGATCAGATATGCTTGCAAGTCAGCCTGTGATTCTGGTCAAACAGGAAGAAGTTAATTTGACAAGTGTTGTGAAAGCACTTCAGAGTCTGCAATCACAAGTAGAGTCAATAAAGTAAGGCCCAAGATCAGGAGGAGGAGGATACAGTGGAGGTTCAGGTAGAGGATCAGGAAACAGAAGTTGTGTGTTTTGTGGAGAATCTGGACATTTTATACACAGTTGCTCAAAAGTGTCAGAATACATTACAAACAGGAAGTGTGTGTGGAGCCCAGACAATAAAATTATCATGGCCAACAGAAACACCATTTCTGAGATAGGGCAGACCTTGAAGGAAAAGGTTGATAGCCACTTTCTGTTGTTACAAATGCACTCTGTTAGTTTCATAGAGGCTACACCAGTCATAGTACACAGTCCAGGAGCTCCTGTACCAGTTACAATGGTAGAGGTTGATGAAGAAGAAGAGGAGGAGGTGGAGAACCTTGCAGAGCTTGAAAGGCTTGAAGTAATGCTTAGAGAAGCCTATAAGAAGGTTGTGGAACAATTGAAAGCAAAGGATGTGAAGGGGAAGGGAAAGTAAGGGTGTGATTACAAAGTAGTAAAACCTGCAGATATCAGACCAGTGCTAGCAAGTATGTACTGAGACACAACTGGGACAAAGGAGTACCCATACTGCTACATTGCACTAATTGAGGACCTGGAAATAGCTGGAAGAGTTTTAGATTGTAGCTTGGACCAGGAAGTGTGTATTACACAGCAGGAGTTGCTTACATTGTCTCCAGAGCTTTGGAAGAAGACTTGTGAATTAGTAACATTGAGGTGCTGAATGGATGGAAACACTACATTCTACAGTGGAGAACTGCCTGTTGTAGGATCAAACAATAGTGGGCTACAGCAGTATCACAACACATTAGCAGAAGTTAACCATTTGCTTCTACTCTATACACTTGAGACAATAGTAGATGGAAAAATTGAGGTAGATTGCATGCTGGACCAGGGATTAAGCATAAACATAGTTTGAGCTGATGTATGGGAAGCATTAAAGATTCTGTTGGATTGTAATATGGCTGTTATGCTTGAAACAGTAGACACTAGTTAGGGATTGACTGTAGGACAGATTCTGAGGTTGTGACTCTCTATAGGAATGCTTCACATAGATATCACAGCACAAGTTGTGCAGAAAGCTCTGTTCAGGATCTTGCTAGGTAGACTGTTCTTTGTGACTACAGAATGTGAAACCAAAGATTTTGCAAATAGGGAGCAGCACATAACACTTTAGGACCTGAATGATCTGTTGAGGAGGTAGTCTCTGTCCACCAGAGTGAGAGCACTGTAATATGAGCCAGAGACAGATTTTTGAGAAGTGTCAAGGAACTGGAAACACCACAATTCTGGAGAGATGTGTATATAGTAAGCAGATTAGAAACAAACAAGCAGAAGAGTAATAGTAAGGTAATGATTCTATACAGAGGAAGAGACAAAGGAAATAGAGTAAATGTGAGAAAGGATTGTAGTCAGGGATCACGAGTCACAGAATCATGGATGATAGAGGTAGCAGAGTCATGAAAGTCAGTAATTCTCAATACACTGGATGACAAACTCAACACAGTTTTGTAGGCTTACAAGAAAGTTGCAAATAAGGTGTGCCCTGTACCTGGAGTGCTTCCAGAGGAGTTCTGCATAGTCAGACAATGGCACCCTAATCCTCTAGCCAGAATGCCTATATTACCAACAATACCAC